CAGCTGTGGGGCCCCCAACACAACAAAGACATGGAGCTGATGGAGTGGGTCCAGAGGAGGCCACAAAGATGATCAGGGACTGGAGCACCTCCCTTGTGAGGACAGTCTGAGAAAGCTGGGGTTGTTCAGCCTGGAGAAGAGAAGGCTCTGGGGAGACGTGCCAGTGCTTAAAGGGGGTTACAGGAAAGGTGGGGAGGGGCTGTTTACAAAGGCACGCAGTGATAGGATGAGGGGTCACAGTTTTAAACAAAAAGAGGGTAGATTTAGGTTAGATATAAGGTAGAAATTCTTTAGTGTGAGGGTGGTGAGGCACTGGCACAGGGTGCCCAGAGCAGCTGTGGCTGCCCCCTCCCTGGAAGGGTTCCAGGCCAGGCTGGACGGGGCTTTGAGCAACCTGGGCTGGGGGAAGGTGTCCCTGCCCGTGGCAGGGGGGTTGGGACTAGATGATCTTTAAGGTCCCTTCCAACCTGAACCATTCTGTGATTAACTGCCAGGAGCTGTGATGCTAAGAGGTGACCCTAGACACAGCAAGCTTGATGTACAGCCCAAAACACAGGCTGAAAACCCTCCAGCCTGGTCTGCCCTGTCATAGCAGCTCTGAGCCTCAGAAACACCATGCCTCCTCCAGAGAGCCTTCTGTGAACGTGTCCCTGTAGTCAGCAGCACCCAAAACACGATGCAAATGGCATCAGTAACTGCCCAGCACCTCATTCAAGTATGAATGTATCACAGAAGGGGCTGAGAAGTGGCCATAACTTTGCTGCTGGTCTCAGGTCTATGGTGATGCTTTGGGCCTTAATCCTGCACCACCTTTGGATGCACAACCTCATGTCCCAACCTCTTCCATTGTGGCTCTGAAGAAGCTCAAAGTGAAACTGCTGAATTCTTAAGTGGCGTGCAACATCTCATGTAAGGTTGGCTGCAACAGGTAGAAACGTGGCTAATAGGATGTGATTTTCCAGTGTGTTTACAGGGAACTACAAATTCTGAAGAACCAACTTAACATGCAAAAGGATAAATAAGATGTATTGGAGGAGATGACGCACCCTTTGACAAAAACTTCCTGCAATTCTCTGACGGACAGTAACCACAAGTTAGATGGAAAAGTCTGTTAGAGTCCGTTAGAGCGGTAAGCTGAAAAACTAAAAAAACTCTCACCAAACCACCCCAAACCAAAAAAACATTCTCACACTGGAAACTTCCCATAGACTGAACAGAGAGGTGTGAAAGACCATTCAGAGAAGACAGAGGCCCGGCAGAAAAGCATAATGAGTTACTCACACTATCAAGGAACCAAGGGAAATTCACATGCTGCAACTTCCTTTTGCAGGGATGAATGAGGCAAATTGCTTCAAGTGAAAGTGTCAGTAGGGTATGTTTCAAAACAAATTTATAACACGAACAGTAAATGACATAAATGACATTTATCTGACACTTCTGGAGGAACCCCAACACAGATCTCTTGGCTGCTGTGGGACGTTCAACCTGTTGCTTAATTCAGCCTGAAAACAGATGAATGAGATGCCAGGGTTAGGCTTTTTTTTTTTTTTTTTTAAGAGCTTTGGGCAAATCTGGGAATGTATGGCGTGTGAATCTGAGTTCCACACTGGGAATTGGGAATAGCATCCCTAGGCATGTAGAGAAATGGGATTTAAGGGGAAGAACCAACCCCACTCTTGCAGAAGGAAATTGTGTCTCACTCCTTAAAGGAGTGAGGATCCTGTTTCATGGTTATGGCTGGATAGATGGATGTACTCGGATGCCCAAAACACTTTCAGCAAGGTACTGCACCAAATGTCCTTAATTGCTTTTCTCCACATCTTGTTTATTTCCATGGTTAATAACAAGGGAGAAGATAGTGAATGGAAAATGGTCAGTGTTTAAGATGGAGGAACAGATACCAGTCCTGTCCCACCGGGATCTGTGCTAGGGCTTATGATTTTTGCTGTATTCATAAATGATCTGGGAAAGGGTGTGAGCAGTGATGGGGCAGAGTTCGCTGCTGAGGGTACGGTATGCAGTGAAGTAAAAATGAGCACTCACTGCAGAGTTCAAGAAAGGTCTCACAATGAACGGCTGGATGATAAAATGACAAAGTCAGTGTTGGTAGATGTAATTTACAAGGAGAAGCTCTACCTGCATGGAGAGGTCAGACCAGTTATCCCTCCTCAAGGAAGTAGCCTGGGTGTCAGCTCTGTGTTTTCCTCCTTCCCCTCAGAGAAGATACGGTGGAATTAGGAAGAGGCAGAAAAGGAGAGAAGGAAAATCAAATGAACAGGACAGAGAAGACAGCCAAAGGAGAGAAACTGATATATATATAATCATGGGCCTTGGTGTTTTGGAAACATTATTTGTGATGTTTTATAGTATAGAGACAAGCGCATATTGATTAATGACCTAGCAGGTTAAAAACCCCTCAAATTTAAGGACTTCACTATGCATCATAAGTCTGAGGAATTAATCACCTAGGGTTGCTCTGGAGGCAAATAATCTAGAATGGATCAAAAGCAATCATGCTTTTATGGAAGAGCAATCCAGCAAGGACTGCTAAACAAAAGGATAGTTTGGTCAGAATAAGATTAAACCGATTATTGCTTGAAACATGTAGCAGAGGAAGCATGGGTTTATGCCTAAACTACTCTTCGATCTCAGACATAGTAGTTTCTATGCTCTTGTGATGCATCAGGAGGAGCAAGCTGACAAGCAAAGCCCTGGTCAAGTAGCCTGTCCAAATGTTTCTGCAACGCAATGGCACACCATGCAAGTATTTGGTGTGGGCAACAAAGTTAACTACAAGGTACCTCAGGGATGCGGTTACAACACTCCACAGTCACTTGGCATAGGCTGGAGTGAGGCTAAGAGCAGGATGGAGAGCCTTGTCTGGGCTGAGGGCCAAACAGGTCTTTAAAGCACGTTTGGGGAAGGAAACATGTCAATATACATTATAGCATTGCCCAGGAAGAAAGCAAACATGAGGACTGCCAGTTCTGTGGGAAGAGATTAAAAGCCATACTGATCCTTGGGTCACAGGTTCATGTTCTTAAATCTCAGGTCTACATCAAAGATGATGTAGATGAAAAGGAGAGCAGAGGTAAAGGGGAACAAGAAGGGTTGAGAATGGAAGGAGAGAACAAAAATTTCTGCTTTAGCCAGCCTGATGGGGAGTTGTTGGAGATACCTCAGGGGCCAAAGGCAACCAAGAACTTTAGTTTGGACAGAACGAGACTGATCTGGAATAGGTCTTAGCCTAGAGGTAATTAGCTAAAATTTTTGCAGGAAAGATTGTTCAGATGTAAAGTGTCATGGTTTCAGCCCAGGAAAAATGAAGCAAAGATAGTTCAGGAATCTAGCCATGGACAGGGAAGGGTGGCTCACCCATTAGGGTCAGGGGCAAAAGACAGACTCCTTAGGGGAAGAAAAGAAAACAAAACATCACTTTAATTCAAACACTAACAAAGACAACACTTAACAGACAAGGTGGGACAGTGAGAAGCTCCACCACACCCAAAAACACCTCCCCCCACCCCTCCCTTCTCCCCGGGCTCAGCTCTGCTCCCCATCTCTCCCCCTCCTCCCCCAGCGGCGCAGGGGGCAGGGGATGGGGGTCACAGTCAGCTCCTGCTCCTTCCTTCTCGGGAGGTGGGGGAACACCACACATCCCTCCCCTGCTCCCCGGGGCTCCCCTCTCACTGCAGACAGTCCTCCACCAACCTTCTCCAGCGTGATCCCTCCCCACGGGCCGCAGCAGCTCCCAAGCTGCTCTGGAGTGGGTCCCCCCCGCGTGTTGCAGCCCTCCCAGCGCCGAACCACGACAGCGGGAGCCGCTTCTCCCCTCAGAGTCCCGGCTTGCTTTAAGCACAGCCTCCTGCCCTGGCGTGGGCTCCTCCACTGGCTTCATGTCAGGCTCCGCTCCACTGTGGACCTCCACGGGTGGCAGGTGGGCAGCCCTGCCATCTCACCATTGGGATACAGGGGTCTCTGCTCCGGCGTACCTCCTCCACATCCTTCTCTTTCCTTCCTTCCTTCTGACCTGGGTATTCGTCCTTCTCTCAACTCCTCCTCACAAGTCCCCTCTCAGGTTCCCCTTCTTAAATATGTTCTCGTACAGGCACAGCCACTGTCGCTCACTGGCTCAGCCCTGGACAAGGTGAGTCCAACTTGGAGCCGGGGGAGCTTCGAGAAGCTTCTCACAGTGGGACACTACTATAGCCCCCTCCCCTGCTACCAAAAACCCTGCCAAAGAAACCCAGCACATAAAGCAAGGAGGCAGATAAGAAATGGATACAAACCCATTCTGCAAAGTAAGAGGGAGGCAAATTAGGGAAGCTCTCTAAAGGATGCACTGAAGCACCGGTTGTAGGGACGGAGTGGGATAACGCAACTAGGAAGGCATAGATTATGAAATAAAATTCCTCCCAAGCCCCCAAGCCCAGAGATCCCTCTAGCACTTTCAGTTCTCACTCCTGTGGATTGCAGAGCCTTCTCACTGCTCTTCTTCATACTCTCCTGGGTGCTGGCTCTGCCCAGCTCCTCATGCCTGGGCTTCTCTTCCTAGCCTTCCTCTCTGAGCTTAGCTGAAGTCCCACAAGGCATGAAATGCAATACTCAGGGGATCTGTGGGCTGCCAAACCCTCTTCTGGGTGCTGCCCCTGCTCACGCAGCCCAGTACAGCCTGGTATTTGCTTTTTGTGTGAGTACATCCCATTCAGTTCATCACATGCTAGCTAAACTATAACATGATATAACATGAATGACCTTCCCACTTTGGCTTACACAATTTGCTCTTTGCTTTTTCTAAGACACAACTTCCCAAGTGCCACAAGGGAAGCTGCTGCCATAGGAGATGAAGTAGGGCTGCTCGTGTAGCTGCTGCTCTTCAGTGGAGAAGATTGTCTTCAGGTAGAAGATGAAAGGAAACCTTAGCATAACTCACACTTGCACAGGGCTGAAGCTCCAGTGCCTGACTTTGGCCATGAGCTTGAAGCAGGCAAAGACCATGCTAGAGATGTCAAATGTGCATTTTATTCTTCAGCAGCCTTCCCAGGTCCCTGATTTTCCCCCTTGCTGTCACACATTACTCTCCACAACAGCCCAGGACTAGCCAGGCTGCTCTCCAGAAGCTTGGGTAGACCTTGCATATAGGCTAATGCTCCTGCAAACCAGAGCCTTGCAGAAATCATGCCAACGCCTCCAGTGCTGCATAACCTCAGCCTAGAAGATTCTCACCCTTCTCTTGCCTTGGTTTGCTCTTGCCGTATCACAGAAAAAGCAGAAGTAGCAGACGGGGAAGAAGCCTGACCTGCCAGCCCAGGTGTGCTGCCTGGGTCCATGCCAGGCTGCTGACTGCCCACCTTGTGATTCTACTTCCCACCCATCGAATCAGGAGCAACAGAAATCTGTGACTCATCTGCTCTGGTTTTGGGAAGCTTGCCAGATGGGCCACAAACACCCACAGAGAAGTGTCCTGACCCTCTCCTGATGTCATTCCCTGCTGTGTCACTCGTGAGCTGTGCATGCAGCAGCACCCAGGAGGTACTGGAGGCAGCTGCTGTGGAAAAGGTCTTCACCACCCTCCTTGGTTCAGCATTATCCCTGCCAGGGTAGAGGAGCAAACCGTTTTGTAGCTGGATCTTAGCCCTGGCCTTACATCATGTTCTGTGGCACAGGAGCTAGGAAAGAGTTACAGAGCAGCTCTGTTACTGACATGTGTTTCTCATACCCATCTCAGTTCTGTGCATTAGTGAGTTTTCTTAGAAATGTTTTGGCCATGAAGAGTTTCTACATACTACCCAGAAGGCAGGCTTTCCAGCTGCCCAGTGGTGGAGGAAGCCAAAGAGAACATTGGCACAGAGGCCAAGTCTGCCCAGCAAAATGTCCCTGGGCTTAGCCAGGAGGACTCTGCAAACAGCAGCCTTTGACTGCCTGGTCTGGTTCAGTCCCGAACAGGCTCAGAGCAGCTGCCAAAACCAACCACGAGGAAGAGAGAAGGTATGTTAATGCTGCAAGGCAGTGGCTGGGGAGAGCCAGCACGTCAGGCTGAAACAGCCACCAGTTCCCTATTGGTCTCCACCAATACCCTCAGCGTAAAGTAGCATGTTGTCCAGCCCAGACCTGTAGCCATTCCAACCAGGCTGAACAAGAGGGTTACGCCAATGATTCCTTGGCTTGAGCTCTGGTTAAGGACTGGGGAGCAGTGTGCCAGCATGCTGATTCAAGGGCAGGAAATTCCCGCTGCAGAAAGATGTTCTTGCCCCTTGTCTCAGCTCCTGTTCAAGTGCTCCTGCACTGAACAAAAAGGATGCACTGGTTTCATTCATTACTTCCCAAGCCCAAGTCCAGCTTCCCTTGACAGCCAGAGAAGTGGATACACAGGACCAAAACACAGACAGAGGACTCGAATAGGAAGAGGTAGAAAATCAGTACAGGTGTCTTTGAGAGAACACGTTGAAAGGTATCCAGTTTGGGACTATTAACAGTGTGAGGCGAGGGGTCTCCAGGCATGTTGAAGTATTGACACGCAGACTGTGAGGCACTGTGGCCCCGTGCAGAGCGTGACTGCTTCCATCCTCTCCCCTCTGCGAGGATGAGACTGGTCCAGATACTGTGACTGGCTGTGTGCTGATGAAAGTTAATTTCTGCAGCAGTCCTGTCTAAAGGCATAGGGCCAGCTGGGTGCAGCAAAAAAAAAGAAAAAAGAAAGAAGGCTGCTGTATGTCTGGTATGTTCACCCAGTTAGGCATGGCCCAGCAGCACTGAAAGAGGATACAGCCTAGCCACTTTGACCTGCAAGAAAGTCAAGAAACACAACTCAGTGTTACAACACAACGTAAAAGGAGGGCTCCATTCAGCAATCCCAGTATGACACGCTTGCAGTTATCTATGCAGGTCACACATGTTTTGTCTTTCTTCTGCCTAATCTCAGACACAAGGAGCATCCCCTGGGTACATCAACACCCACGTACAGGAATGAAGCGATAGAGTCAAACACTTCAGGGAGAGGATTTTCTCAGCCATCAAGAGGATGACAAGACAGGCCCCAGCTAAAAAACTTTGCTCCAAGACAAATTCCTGGAGGTGTAACCACGCAGGGAATTTGGCAATCCTGGTGCATGGCTGCAAGCCTTGCAGTGGGTCTGCAGCCAACAGCATTGTCTTCTGATCCCTGTCCACTCCAGCTGACATAAATCCAGATTTTTCCAGAGGTGTACAACACCACCACTACTGCTTCCTCCTGCCTTCAGCAACTGAATGGGACAGAGATTTACACACTGGCTGCGCAGCAGAGCTGCTCATCCACTACATGCTTCAATTAACACATAGGGCATAGCCAGCTGTGTCAGAAGCCCCTTCCTGGACCGTTCCATATGCTCCTATAATCTGCCCAGTGTATGACAGCCTCAGTATCTAGCTGTGTCTCCAGCTGCTGAGCCCTTGTTTCAAGTCCTCACAGAAGACTGCTGCCTTTTCTTGTGTTCTCTGACTTGCCTTCAGGTCATTACCTCTGCTATACCCCAGGGCTCTCTGCCCAGCACCCACTTCTGATATATACCTGTGTAACATCAAGCCACAGCAGCTGACTACTGTAGTGTGCAGATATGCTTTCTGATACTACTTGTCCATCTAGCCCCAGGCCTCTAACAAACTGTGAGCTCCCTCCAGCAGCCTTGTTATTGTACTGCAAGCACACTGTGCATCACAGGTGCTGGGAACACTTATGCTGATCTTTCCTGTTTTTCCTGGTCTCTTTGCAGTCCTGGAATGGAAGCTGGCCACTGCCCTCTGTTTTTCCTGCTATATTTCTAGGTAGTTGGTGGCCAAGACATGCTCCAGGCGGACCAGGAAGGGAAGAGCCCCTTTGCTGCTCCATTTCCATGGGAAGCTGCAATTGCTGTCTGCCTTTGTGTGCTGTCTCCTCTTACCATGTCACTTGGGCTCCACATCCTCAACGCTGAGAGCTCGACAGCAGCTTGGCCTCTTCTGCATGCACATTCAAGGGAATGGAAGAGAACTGCAGTGAGAAGCAGAGAGACAGCGTTAGGGGAGCAGCAACTGGGATGCTGACAACACAACAGCCCCTTCTGTTGTGGACTTTGGTCATCTCAGTGAGCCTCTCCCAGGGTCTCCCCCCAGCCCGGCACTTCCAGTGAACACAGTCTTGATCCCAAGACCACCAAATAAAACCTGTGACCCAGGAGCTAGGGAACCAACCGCTACTTGTGGAAGCCTCCTCTCTCCTGACCCTGGGTGGGGCAGCTCCACGTGTCTCAGAGTGGCTGTGGGTGGCAAGGCTTGGCAGAGGATATGCCCCAGCTCACCTGCTGGATTTCCTGCATTGCCAGGTGTATGGAAGAGTGGAGGCGAGGGAAGGCTCGTTGGCTGCCTGCTTCCTTGACTGAGCTTGGCTTTGTCATACTCTTGTCCGGGCTCTCTTGGTTTTGGGAATTCTTGTTCCTCCTGAACCACACGTGTCTGAGAACTGCGGCTGCTCCTGACTGCAGAGCAGTTCTACTGGTGGAAGGCCTGAAGGGGCAGGGCTGCACCTCTGGAGGAGTCTCCTCCTTGGCTGCTGGTGGACCCAGCGTGCGGCACTCCAGATCTTTGTAATCCAGATTCTTACTGCTTTTCTGAAGGAGGGAAGAGTGGATTCAGCAGTGGCTTGCAGACCCTCCACACACCCCAAACTGTACAATGAAGAGGAATACCCAGCTGTGCCCACTGCTGATATTCAGGGGGCAGGGGGTGTCAGCCACCCACCAGGGCCTCTCCCCCACCCCAGGACTCCCCAGTGACCAGCTAGTAGAGTTTGCTGGTGCATGCAGAAGAGGCCAAGCTGCTTGGCCAGAATGGGATACCCCAAACAGGAACACAAAAGAGAGATGCTGCCTCAGTGACTCTGTCCACTCAGGGCACAGCCCATGCCCCATCCCTTTTTCTGGCTGTAGATCCTTGACATTCACCTGACCACAGGGGACAGTCAGTATCTCCATGAAGGGCTGGATGCCCACAGTCTGGTGATACCGAACCAGCTCGGTGAGCGAGGTGTGAGCCCGGTCTTCCCCCAGGATGACATAGCGCACATTGGGCTGCATCTGGATCATGTAGTGTCTGCAGCGGCCTTCGCCCCTGGGGTCATGGACAGACAGAAACAGTCATGGCATGGGGCCACAGCATCTCTTCAGGACCCAGTCATTGCTTTCTGCACTTCTCTCAAGAGGCCAGATGTGATCAGGAGCCACAGTAACAAATACCACAATGATGCGGGAGATGCCCCGTGGTGGTGTCACACACTGCACCAGGAGGTGCTGGAGGAGCAGTAATTTCCCTGCAGTCAGTGGCAGGAGAACCCCAGCATCCAGATCCAAAATCCAGACTACTGCCTCCCATGCCCGTTGTCTACATTAAAACTCTGTGCTACCCCTTAACTACGCGTGTACAAAGACCATGACCCTGTAGCACTCCAATTGCCCCTCCTCAGGCCCTCTTCTAGATTAATCTCCTCTGTTTCAGTCAGTGTTTCTTCCAGCCTGGTTTGCCCACTCAGCCATATAGCACAGCCTAAACAGGACCTGCACCTTTGGAACTGCAGCACCTCACTTACAAACAGATCTACTTTTTGGCAAGAGACAGACTCTGCAGTGTCCTGTCTGCTACTCCAAACTGTCTGAAGCACCCACAACAGGAGAGGCTGAGCACCATCCTCACTGGACTCCGCTGTGGAGGAGGTTAACTCCAGCCATGCATAGCTCAGTTTTGGACCTTCTTTGTTCTCCTCTGCAAGGCTCATTACCTACCTGTATGTCAAGATGTAGCCCGGTCGGCTCTGGCTGATCCGAACAAGGAAGCAACCCAAAGGCTTGTCAGTCAGCAAGCTTTCAGCTTCCCTGGAAGTAGGAAAGAGTTGTTCAGCTGACAGTGAGCAGCTGCCTCTGTGCAGGGATTCCCATCCTATCTCACGTGCTACCATCACATGCCCCCCAGTCCACAGGGAGGCCAGCATCTGACCCATGTATTCCTAACTACAGTTTCCTGACTCAGGCTTGGTGGTGCAGGGAGGCATTAGCAGGCCGAAGAGGCATGATGCTCTCAGCCAAAGCCTCTCCAAGCAGGGCTGCTCCAAACCTGTTCCTGCCGTCTGACTAGCGCAATAGCAACAGCTGCCTTCCAGCACAGAGCACATTACAAAGCACCGCTGAGACGAGGAGGCTGCGCACACGTGCAGTTCCTGCGCTCCAAGGCTGGTGGAAGAAGTCGGGGTGCTGTGGGGTAGTGGTGCTCAGATCAAGGCAAGCCCAGTGCCTTGGAAAAACACCAACTGGGATTACACCACTCCGGCTCTCTAAAATTCCTGCTGAAAGGAGGTCTTCCCCCTCTCTGCCCAACAGACAAAGCACCACTTTGTGCTTCTTATGTGCCTTGCTCCAAGCTAAAGGTGACTGCAGATCACCAGTGCAATTCAGGATTGCTCTGGCTGCTCTGTTACACGAGGCTGAGCTTACACTGCTGTATGGAGACTTAAATCCAGCAACAGGAAGCACCACTTCAAAAGTATCTTATCTTCAGTGTCTTTGGCAAGGACCCTGTGTCCTTTATTGTGAAGTGCTCATGGCTAGCCTATACTTGAATTCAGACAGTTTTGTCTTCCAGGTGCTATTTCCTCTCCTGCATTCTTGGATTTGTGGACAAAAGCACTAATTCAGGTGGGGGCCTTGGTAATTATCTTAAAAAAAAAAAAAATGCAGCTACCAGAGGGTTGTCAGCTACTGTAATGTCCTTTACTAAGGAAACATGCCATATAATGTCTCTGAGTAATGTTCACACTGATAAGCTGTCAAAATCCAGGAACTTGTGATCTAGTAAGGCTGAAGGAGACTTGCAAGCTTTAACAGAAAAAAGTTACAAACTGGAACAAGATGATAAGGGTAACAGGCATGCTTGGCAGCAATGCCCACACACAAGTCCCATCAAATAAGGGACACTGGCCATTAGCAAGTGTGCAGCACCATAGATTTGCTTTGCACAACAGGGGAGAAAATTTTGATGTCTACCTGCTGACCCCACTGTCTTGCTCCTAACTGATCACTTGCATAAGCAGCATTTCTCTGATTATCACACTGCTTGGGAAGTTGTGCTTGACTCAGCGAAGAGAGTTAAGAGTGAGGCATACCCAGTAGCAAAATTACAAGCATTTAGATCAAGGTTTTCTCAAAAAAGCTTGAGAGTTCACAGTCTTGTAAACAACTCTATAAGAAAGCAGGATGTTGGATGTCTCTCCCAGAAAAAAGGGATGTAAATTCCACCTATGCTGCACCCTTAGATGGGCAGAGGTATCAACAAAACCTCTTCCTTTTCCTGTATCTGGGGGCTTTAGGGGAATCTTGCTGTTGGGTACCCACTAAAACCCCTCCTGATACTTTTTAAAATAAATGTACACTGAATTCTGTATTTTCCTGCTGTAAACTGAGGTCTCCTCCTGATCTAAACTGAGATATGAGAAGAGTCATAATGAGTCAGACTAAAAGTCCATCTTCATTCTGTATCACATCTCTGCAAATGGTCTGCAACAGGGTAAATTCATGCATGTATATCCTCTCCAAGTTCTTTCCAAGCCTCCCTTTCCCTCACAGGATCTGTATTTGGGAAACCACAGTGGACTTATTTCCTATGAATTTCCACAGTCTTTCCCTGGACCCATGCAAAATTTCAGCATTTGCATCCCGGGGGGGGAGCTCCAAGCCTTCCCCCAAGGGTTTGAAGCTCAGAGCCTAAAAGTGAAAGGTTATGCAGGTCACTCCCGTTCCTTAAGGAGGCAAATCCAACCTATGCAGTCCTCCTAAGGACACAGCAGCTTCTGCCTGCCTGCCACAGCCTCAGCTGTGGCCACTGTGTCCAGCATACCTCCGGCTGATCATCCCATGCAGCCAGTTTGGAAAGGCCCCATCACCCTGCATGACCTTCTGGGCCTGCGTCTCTTTGAACCAGCGGAGACTTGCTCCTCTCTTGATTTCCCTCATTTTTGCCTCTTCTCCAGTCTGTTTCTCTGTCTCCAGAACAGGGTGAGGTGCAGAGGGGTCCAAGAAGTTATCAAAAGGAGTGGACTGAAAGTGGAGAGAGGGAGAAAGTCGGTATGAAAGCAAGGTCTGAGTCTCTTGAGACAAGATCAGTTGTAAACTATCAAATGTTGCTTTCAGTTCCTCAGAGGTCCGGACCCACGCTTTTTAACTAACCACAGTAGGAAAGGACTCTCTTACTTCTCCTAACAAGAATGACAACATTCTCCTATGGACCACATCCAGGAGAACCTGTCCATGCAGAAGGTGGAAGGAGCAGGGAACCAGCACACCTGGGTACAAGGGCCCAAGCAGAGTCTACCTCTGTTAGTTTGCTGCGTGGCCGTGGCACTGGTGGCTTAGGAGAATGGAGACAAGGCTGAGGGTGCCTCTTCCGTGGCATGGGGACTGGAAGGGAGATTCTTTCTGCAACAAGAGGAACGAATTAGATGAAATCTAGCATCCATCCTTCATGTGCCCAGGATAGAGACGGGCTCTGCTGCATGGAGTATGTGGGAAAGACACGGATTGGCACTCGTCCCGGCACAGCCAGGCAAACGACTTTCAGCATGCTGCTTCCGCTCCCCACAGGGAAAGCCACACTTTCAGATGGCAGAAATGTCAGCACCTCCCTGCCCACCACACTGGTGGAGCCCCCGGCCCCAGGAGAGCCGAGGGCAGGCCATCATCACCTGGAGCATACAGCATTTCAAGGCGATCACTGCATGAGTGGCCACGCACGGGGGCTGTGGGAGTGGGTGCAACTCACTCTGGGCCTCTGCTTCCATCGCCAGCTGCCATCTTCTTTCTCTCTCTGCCTCCTCCTGTAGCCGCTGTGCCTGAGCTCTCAGCTCAGCCACCAGTTTGAGGTAACTCTTCCTGCATCTGTATCCCCTGAAAACTGTTCAGAGAAAAGCTGTGGTTAGAAAAAAAATGTTGTTCATGCCACTGCCATTCACTGGGGGAGGCACACTGGGTGATAATCCTTCAACCAGTGCAAAGCCCTCAACATCTGAGTCATGTTAATAAAGAGCAATGCAAACTCTACTGTGAGCAGGCAGTCAAAACCGTGTGAGAACAGTCTTCTGCTCTCTAAGCTGACAGATCAGGGATGTAAAAAAATTAAATTACAGATCTAAACTCTCATCTCTAATTCCAAAGCACTGAATACCTAAAAACTGAAGACTCACAGAAGGGCCTCTCTTAACCATCTATCAACCTGGTACCCTTCAGACACTACTCAGTAAAAGCCAAGCTCTTCCATGAAGGAGACAGGATTTCCTTGGTGTCAGACCACAGGATAACCTTTCCCATAAACAGCCATCACAGCGTTCATCAGGCGCATTAGGGAATTAGAGACACTGCATTATCCCGCCTACTCTACAAGGTACTAAAGCACATGAACTGAAAGCCACACTCTCTCATTTCCCACTACCCACACATCTTCCCCACGGATGAGAACAAGCCACAGCATGTGACAGTCTGGGGTTTGTCATACTGTGCGGTGCATAGCTGGAAGCTGCTCAGATGCTTCAGCAGGGCAACAACCCGTACAGAGGAGAAGTACAACTGAGAGGGACCAGGCAGGGTCACAGCCTTCTCCTCCTGGTTGCACAGTCCTCATGGAGCCTGTGCAGAGGGAAGTACCAAACTGCCCACAGTGCCTGCTCTGGAGAAACAGGCTGCCAGAGCAGACGCTACCTGGAAAGAAAAAAAACAAACCAAAATGAACCCTCATCCCCTTCTGCCTGTCTCTGAAAGTAGGAATGAGATCTGCTTCACTCATCTTCTTTTCCCTCTGCTCAGTTCAACACTGCTCACAAACAAGCCCTCACTCCAGAGGATGGTTAGCCAGATCCTGGGATGCTGCCAAATCATATGCTTGCCCCGTTCAGCTTAGCTCTCCTCCGCACATGCTTTCCCCTTTCAAGGCTCACACTGTCTGATAGTTCTCCCCAAATGAAGATAAGCACTGTGGAGGTGGGCATCTGCAATAAGCAGTCTGAGTCCACAAGCCCTTGAGATGGAGATGGTGCCTGGCCTGTCTTTCTGTCATCTACAAAGGTGCAATGGTGGAGTAGGGACTGGAGAAGAGTTTTGCCGTGCCCTGGTCTAAGATCAGAGTTGAGGGACTGGACTCTTCTGCCCCAGTGCTCACCTTTCTGTATGACAACTGCTGCTTTTTCCAGTCGCTCCACATAATTTGCCAGCTGTTCCTGGTGCCAATATTTGAAGAAAAGTCGTGACTTCCTGAGAAGTTGCAGAGAAAAAGAAGCAGTGAGAAACACTGTTTAAACTTGCATCCATCATCCTTTGGACAGGCCTCTCCTATAGCCATTAAGTTCTCCCTGAAGGGAACCAGGTAAGTCTACATGTATAAAGTCTCTGCACTTCAGGCCCCCCATGCCCAGCAGCAGTGATCCACACCTACCCACATAACCAGCCTGTCAGCTCCGTACTTTGCAGTATCTCCAAGCAGCTGAAAGAGAGGAAAAAAGTGAAATAAATCATTTTCCGCCCAAAGTGAACACCATTCAGCCCGTGGTTTTAGGTGCATAAAGAGGGAGAAAGTGCATGAACGATTCTCCATTACATTCTCTGTCCCCCGATCACATTCAGTAACTGGCTGTCAATCTGTAGTGCTCCCTGAGGTACAGCTAGGATCACATTCAAGAACATTAGCAAAGGGATTCCCAGAGGCAGATTTCCTCCAACTCCCTGGCAGGCAATTCTGCAGAGCCTATTTTCTTCTCAGAACTGTTTTTCCTCATTTAATTTTCAATCTTTTTGGAGCACAGAAGTTGCAAGACTTTCAGGAGAAAGCCTGCTTTCCAATTCAAGTTTCATTTTGCAGAATCTAGTGATAAAATTTGAGTGTCTTGGAAAGTTTCCCTGACGCTTGGAACTGAGAGCAGTACTCTAGATGCACCACACAGACAGCTTCCTCCCTCTGCTTGCAAATGCGGGCTGTGAAATCATAGTGGCACTTTTTGCTAATATCTCACGTAGCAAAGCAGAAGGTTTTCTTTCTATCTCAGTCAACTTCCACTGTGCCAGAATCTATATCTACACTAATTCTCTTCTCAAATACATTCTGATTTTTGTGCCCGAAAACACACCATGCTGCCTGTTTACAATCACCTCTCTCTCATCTGAGATTCTCTCTTGACCTCACTTAGGTTTGCAATTCTTATTAATTCAGAATCATCAGTAACTGCAAGGAAGCACTGTGAAGGCTGGAGGAGCTATTTCCAGGAAAGAGTTGTTCCAGGAGAACATTCAAATCCTTTTCTTAAAAGAATAAAAAAACCTTCATCATGCTGCCTTACATGCTTCATTCGCACTACCAGTCACAACTGACCACGTCAGGAAGCAGGGACTGGGAAAGTGGAGAAGAAGAGGTGGGGAGTTGCTGTCCTAGATGTAGAAAGGGAAAAGCTGACAGGGTAAGACTGCAGAGCCAGGGGGACATTTACGTGTGTAAGGAACAGTCAAGTCTGAAAGTGCTGATGGTGTATTATGCCGGTAAACAAAAAAAGTTCTTGGACCAAGAAACATCCCCTCTATCCTGGGAGACATTCAGTGCTGGCTGATTGCTGAGCATTGTCTTTATCTTCTTCTTCCATGAAACCATCAGGAAGAAGCCCAGAGAGGCACCTGGCAACTGTGCTGAGCCCCTGCCATAGTGAGTTCAGTGGAGACCCTTGACCATTATTGTGCCTCCCTAAGTTGAGTACATTAGCCAGTTCTCATTCCACAGGATAGCACGGCCTTATAGCAACTGAATGGAATTAATACATAGCAATTCAAGAAAGAATTCATTGATTATTGTACTAAATGCTTTTCAAACACTGTCTTTGCCTAGGAATTTGTGTTCTCCATTAATACAAATCCATATCCTCACTTTGTTCTTTTCACTCAGTTTACTGTGCTAACCTGAAGGCAAAAGCCTTTGAAGAACAAACTGGATTGCACATAACAAAGGAAGGGTTCCTACCTTTCTTTTGTGAGGGAAACATCTGGTTTAACTAGAAGAATTCCATAGCTGTGAAAAACAAACCAATTCAGCAAGGTAAGAGCCCCATCCTTGATGTTCTCCATGTCACCCCCACAGCAAACAACAATAAATCACTGTCTGTCCCATTTGGCCCCTCACAGCAAACAACCCCATGATCTCAGGCATGTGAACTTTAAAGAGACAGTTTCACTCCCTGCGCATACCTGGTTACCAGGGTCGATTCCCTAACTATATCTAACAAGGAACATTCAGAGGTTTTAACAAACCTTTCAGCAAATTCCTCAAATGAGGGTCTCCAGGAGAAACCATCTCTTCGGATACGGATTGTCTCCAGCAATCCATTGTACTGGAGCTGAAGCGGCAGCACAAAGAGAAACAAAGAGAAACAGGTCATTAGGACACCAGTTTGTTCCTCTGCAGCCAGAAATTCCTTCATTCAGCCCTAAGCTTCTCTAGTTCAAAATGAGAAAGTTCCTTTCTGAAAATGTTTCCTTAGTTAAAGACTGAATTTACCACATCCTGTAACTCTGATGATTAACCACTCTCAGTTAAAAGCTGGAAACCATAAAAACCAATGACTGAAGTAACTTCACCTTCCAGCATGGGTACTGCTTTGCCTCTGTCTCTTGGAGGACAGCCTTTTACTTCCAAATCTGGACAAATAAGTATTGTGAGGCACACATGAACTTCCCCCTTAATCCTATCCTTCCCTATATACATTAAACAGGCCACAGAGCTTTCTGAACTCTTCTAATAATTTTCAGTATTCTTTAAAGCATCTGGATCTCAGACATGACACAGGATCCAAAGACAGTCATATCAGCACATTTCAGCTCCTGTCAGAGTGATCTCATCTTGGCTCCTACTCAGAGTTGTTCTGGCTGATGGGTGAGAAGAGTCTCCCGCAGGAAGCATAATTTTTATGAAGTACTGTCTGTACCAGTCCCCATCCAGGAGATGCAAAGATGAATCCTAGCACCTGACATGTAGACCTCAGTGCATTCTTGAAAAAGAAAAGGGAGGGAACAAGGATTGCAAAACCTGGACCTAGCAGTCTGTGTCACATATCCAAGTACCAAGAACATTTCCATGCATAAAAAGTGTGCCTACTCTTTCTCCTGCAAGGGGAGACTCAGACCAATCAGCTTCCAATGATCACCACAGCTTTTCAGTGGGGTCCGTCCTCCCCCCTGAGACATGGCAGAATGACATTGCTTTTCCTCACCTGCTGCAGCACCATCTGGCTGTCCACCACACCTGGCTCCTTCTGGCTGTTGGGTTTTATACAGCGCACAAAGTGAGGGTTGGCAGAATACATCCTCTCCATGAGCACCATCAGAGAATGCTGGAGAGGGCAGAGAAAGATCAACAGTCCGGCAAGCCGAAACACTGCCATATCCCAGTGTGCAATATCCTGCAGCAAGAACTGTTTTCCCATCCCACAGCAACTTCTGAGGGTCTGATAACAACCAGGTCACTCCCACCATGATCAGGTCTGCTTGGCACCCAGAAAAACCCTTGTCTACATGCTGGATGCTTTAACTATCCTTATCAGCCTAGTAGTTCTCACTAAAATATCACTACACTCATCTCAAGGGGCACTACAGGGCAGCAATGCTTTACCCGGAACTGAGCTCCAGCAGACTGTTTTCGTGTGCTGTTGAACTTGTCATCTGCTCCTGGTATGACCTGAAACCAGACCCAAACAAATGATCACCCCTGGAAGAAGTGCTTGATTTCCACCCAAAGAGCTCTGCTAGAAGGCAGATGGCAAAAAGGAGAGAGAATGGATTTCAGGGTAGGGAAAACAAGTCAAACATATCAGCAGAAGCAAGCAGAAAACCCAGTAAAATACAAAAGAGAAATTGTTGCAAGCAGATTGCTGTTTGCTCTTATTTTCAACCAATTTCTGTCTGCTCTCATTTTCAACCAGTTTGTCAGATAATAAATATCAGGTAACTATGCCATCATTTATCAATTGCCATGTGGACCTGAAGTGCAATACCTTGGCTTTCACATGAGGCATGAGTGTCCCTGTCCTGGAGATAGTGGCTGGAAGAACAGAGACAACAGTTAATTTTTTGCTCACAATCAACCATGTCTAAACATACAAACCTCGCCTCACACACAAGTCTCCCTACAAATACTGAATCACAGACAGGGTGTTAGGTTTCACCATCTGGAAATAAAAGGAAAGAGCTAAAGAAAGGGAGAAGAAAATGCAGATATATGAAGCATACAACACAGGCAATATTATTATCTGCCACTGAGAAGACGAGGCAATCAGGTTATGGAACAACCCTAAATGACCTTCAAAAGAACTATCAGCAATGGCCATCTAACAATGCAGGAAAAAAGTACAGCAGTCAATACAGGAGGTTATGTAAAGTCAGATAACTTAAAACTAATTCAGTGAGAAGATAGAAAATGGATCTAATGACAGTCTTGCACATCCTTGATGCAACAGTGTCATGTGAATCATAGAATCACAGAATGGGTGAGGTTGGAAGGAACCTCTGGAGATCATCTGGGCCAACTCCTTTGCTCATCGGGGACACCTGGAGCCAGCTGCCCAGGACTGGACAACCAATCTGCACTGAGAACAGGTTATCTCTGCTGTTTATGAACTTTCAAAGAGTTGGGACTAGACTAAGTAGCTTCAGTAATAGTGTGGAAGTGGTAATGAAGAAAAATACTCCTGAGCAGAAGAGCTGAAAAACACCGTGGAGAACAGAAATTAAATTCATCAGTTACTTGTAAATCCCAGAAAGTGGCATGGACTGACAGGACAAAAAAAAAAAAAAAAATTCTGCACCAGAAGCACTGTGTTCAGCCAGATAAATTCCACTTGACTTTTCTTTAAGTGTTTACTTTCATAGAAGCTTTGGACACTCTGAAGGCTTATCAATAACTGGAAAAAGGGAGTGTAGTGGTAGGAAAGAAATAATGCACAACCTCAGTTTTTTGACAAGTTATACCTGAAAAAAAAAATTGTTTGAAAAGGATAATCTCTACACTCGTTGCTTGTGGCTTTACAGCACTCTATCTTCAGTGTGAACAGCTATGACCTTGTCCAGCTTCGTTTCTAGACAAGAGCAGAGCATAAGGAAAGGGCCAGTGGAGAGTCCAGCAATGGCCCTGGAGAAGATGGGCTATCTGTTCTGAAGGAAGACATCTTAGCAGTGGATAATTCTCTGGAATAGGATACAACCTGCCTTGCTTTCCAGCGAGGAACAAACAACTCTGGCAGCTCACTACATGCTGGCAGCTCCATTCCAGGCTGCAGCTTTCCTAGAGTCCCCCTGGGGCTGCCAGCTGTGAAACACACTCAAAGCACACAAGCCTCTATCCTAAACTTAACTCTTGCCAAGGTGGACCTTGATTCATGTGGGATGTCCTACCATGCTTCTGCACCTTGAGGTCCCTTCCAACCCAGTATTCTATGATCACAGCAGAGGGACTTGCCTGTGAACAGCACACTGAGCAAGGGGGTGACGCTGTTGATAAAGAGCCCACGGACATTGGCTGGTAAGGCATCTCTGTTCTTCTCTAGAAAGCCCTCAGCAGTATATTGTACCTAGGGGAAAGGGCAGCAGGTCACTAAGGTGAGCAGTGTTCACAGCCTTGCTGTGAAAGCCACTGCCACAGCTTGCCAGCAACAACTGTTAAACTGAATGTACACTTGCTTGCGCATGAATTCAGCACATAGTCTCACATGTGAATTCTGTAAATGCATATGCACTCCACTCAGATGCAAATCCTGAGGAACAAAACCCTGCAGATGGCACTGAGGCACTAGAACCACAGGAGTGCAGCACAACACTGAGATATCCACCTTCCATTGTTCTCCTTTTCTTGATTATGAAGTTTCATTTACTTCTAGTTATTCTTCACTTGTTTCCTTGCTCTCCCCCTCTTCTCTTTGAATAGGCTTCCCTCCTGTTGTTATGCATCCCCTTGTTCCTCTTGCTCTCTTCCTTTCTCATCTCCAGCCTGGCTCTTGGATCCTTTCTATGTTGGGTGTTAATTTTTGTAATAATGTCACGAGTAATAACTTAGTCAACAATGGTGAGATGAGATTACTAAATGATGTATTACAATAACCTGAACTGTCATGTCTGATCCTGCTCCAAAAATTATCTCCAGTCAATTCAACATATTTGAGCCGATGCTTTCCAATTTGGTGGCAGTAAGGTTACATGCGTAGTCCTAAAGCCCATGATACTTAGATACCATCTGAATGTACAAATAATTGCCCCCTCTTTCAAAAAACAACTGGCTGCTCTCACTGTGTTCCTCAGTGCTTCCAATAAAATAGTGACTGCTATGCTCCGGGACACAACAGGTAAAGGTAAAGCCATTAGACTGTCTTTTGGTGCTGCAGAGTGGATGTAAAGCTTTTATTTTGTCAAGGACTATTTTAAGACCCGAGCTCCAATAGAACATTGATGAGTACAGAAAATTCTCCTAATACCCTGTGTTTCCCAGAAGTAGCCCCACTTTCTTCCTGTACCTTTTACAGAAATCCCAGGGAATCCTAGAAGCCAGCTCCCTGGGAACACATCACTTCTGCTGTATCATCACTGGACCATACAGTCCTTAACATCAAAGCCTTATTTGCCAAGCAACACATTTCCCCCACTTCTACATACGTTACAACAGCATTCTTCATGCAAACAGTACATACTTTCCCAGCATAGTGAATGATGCTGAAGCACAAAACACGGCCTCGGCCTGGCTGGAAGTGCAAATTGCCCTTGAAGCTGCTGTTTAGTTTATCCACAAACGTTCTGTCAGTTGCCTGCAAGAAAGCAGATATCATAATCAAACGACAAGGCTGCAAGAGAGACCTGATCAGGGCACATGGAAGTAAAACAAAAGTGCTGGAAGGTGCACACTGTACTCTCCCTCTGACTCTTCACAAGGATGCCAATATGATTATATTGTGTCTGATCTCGCTGTTGTGTCTCCTCAGTCGCACACGGGAACACGTCTGCCCATCCTGCTCTTTAAAGTCACATTCCAAAATAAAAGCTTTCTCTACAGCCCAAATATTTATTGCTACATTTCCCCACACTGTTTTCTCTGCCCCCTACCTCATGCATACCTGAGGGAATGCGCTCTGCTCATCTAGAAGAGACAGGAGCCCAAGTGGCTTGGCCAGCAGCAGATTCTGCAGGGAAAGAAGACACAATACACATGTCTAAAGCAGTACAGGGCATCCGCTTTCACCTACACCACCCTTTGAAGAGGTTCTTCCCAGGTGCAGCTCCTCCCCATGATAGCAAAAGCAAGACTCCTCTCCTGGCTGGATGGAGCAATTCTCTTCTGTCAGTCTTCTCACCCACCAGAATAGGTTCATTATTGTTGAATGTGATAGTCTCCCAAGGCAACCCTTCTTCCTTATAGGCAGCCTGCTCCAGCTGGAAAATGTGCTGAAACAGAGAAAAAAGAGGTTGGAGCACCCCTGAATGTCTTCCTTCCCATCCTGTACAGAGGTGTGGCTCTCTCACCCATGGCATCAGAGGCCCAAGATGAAACTGCTGTTCTGCATGCTCATCCATAAGGCTGTCACTCACTGATCCTGGTGCATTAAGCAGGAACACTTCTCAAAGTGTAAGTGTCCCTGTTCTTCCAACTTGGGTCATTGGTCAACCTTTCTACTCCTTCCTTCCCTGCACCAGTGGCTCCCCTGCCACAGCAGACTGCTGCTCTCCACCCTCCTTCACTACTCACCATTTCTGTCCTAGGCAATAGACCTGTTTTTCCCCAAGCTCTCCTTCATATGCCAGTGCTCTGCCACACAGGGTGAGATGAGCCACAGCAGACTTACATGGTTGAAGAAGTGCTGCAGCTGCTCATTGGCCAAGTTTATGCAAAGCTGTTCAAAACGATTCACTGCAAAGTTTTCAAACCCAAAAATATCCAAGATACCTAAAAGAGGGAAGATGAGTACATTATGGATCCTGCAGACAGCTGAATACCCCAACACACAACTAAATCTCCCATCACCCAGACCTTGTGGCAGAGGGAAACCCCAGCCAAGTCACCAGTGGCACCCGTCCCATAACACCCCTGGAAGTTAGTTAGGAGAAGCCCCACTCCCACACCTGGCTCCTCTGCAAAGCCAGAGTGCCCCAGAACTACAGCCTCACAGTTGCTTTAGACCAGCCAAATGCTGAAAGCTGGCCAAGGCCGTACAGACTTCATGCTGCTGAGTATCTCCAACGTGATCATGTCTTTGACAATGGATTCCTGCACGCAGCCTGTGAAACCTCATATTGTGCCTTTCCTTCGTTGTGGCTGAGGGATGTGCGTCTGAGGACAGAACAAGAGCAAGGCAGGCAGAACTCACCTATCTCCTTCAGTTCCACCTCAGGATCCATGTTCTCAGCCAGCAGCTCATTGATCTTGCAAACGATCCAGTCAAATACTCGGCTATATGCCACCTTTGCAATGGAGTCCCGAGCATCTGCACAGAAAGAACAGCAGCTCAGTGAAGGGCTCCAAGGAGAGCAAGGAACACAGCACACAAGCTGGCTCAATACACTCACCTCTAGCAACAATGTCTAGTGGTGTATGAAGCTATTTTAAAGATAAGGTAATCATCAGATATCTGTCTGATCGTCCCTGCCCTCTGCACGCTCCTACAGAGCTCTCTCGTTCTCAAATCTTCACTATCTTTCTATGAGATCAGATATGGCATACTAGGGCACTTGTGACACCATCTAAAATGGAAAAATTAATTTCCAAAAAAGTTCAGACACTTTTTAGAATGTCCAGAGACATGCCTTCCCCTCTGCAGGCCTATTGAATATGGATCCCCTCACTGCTAAACCAAGCAAGAGGTTCCAAGTTGTACTTGGAAAATTGTATGGTTCTGTTCCTCCTAGTCCACAGCTGCAAAGTGTTTTAATGCTGTGAGCAAGAGGAGGGTGCAACTGATGGAAAACTCGCTGACATCTAAGAAGAAGGAGACCAAATCAACGTGACCTATTGCATGATGGGAGATGCATATTTTATTGTCTAGAGAGATGCAAGAGAAAACATTTGGGAAACAGAAGTAGCTAATTTTTCATTTTCAGTTTTTTCCTTCATTTGTTTTAAGCAGTAGTCTACAAATTCTGAGATATCGTGCTTTTAAAATTTATTTTAAAAATCTTTTAACTAAACCTTTTTGTGCAGATTATTTTAATTATTTTCTTTTTTTACTGAAAAGGAAAATAACACCTTACACTTGCTACTTTAACATACTCGCCTTTCATTTCATTCATTCCCTGATACTGTGAGAGAATCTCACCGATTCTCTCAGTTATTTCTCCATCTACTACCTAGAGCTCTGCACACTGCTATCACTCTGCAACGGGAGCCTTCCCCTCTTCTGTACAAATACAGTTTCTTTCTAGGCTGGACTGAGGGAGAAAGTAAAGCTAATTCCTTGGTTTCTCATTTAATCTTTGCAATCTCCAGCAGATCAAACAAAAGCAGCATTCACCGTCCTACATATCAGTCAGAGACTAAACAGATAAACACTGGTATACTTGCCTCTGTGCAAGAGGAATGAAAGCGCACAGACAGACATCTTTGTTCCCAACAAGTTGCACATGTGTGGGGATATCCTTCCATCAAATACGGGTCAGACCTTCTGGCCAGCACATCTGCAATTCATTATGTTTCTTTCTTACCTTCTGCCTGCTGCTGGGTGTGAAAACGCTGAATCTGCTCGCCTCGGGTCACTGACATCGTACAAATAAGGCATTTAAACAGTTCATCTTCCTGGACTCCAAACTGACCCTGGGAGAGGGGAAATATATGAGGACAGTCAATAGTAAACCCACCCTTATTCTACTTGTGGGGATTTTATCTCCTTGCGTCTGTGTGTCGCCCAGTGTAATGGAGTCATGATTCAGGTCAAGGCCTTTGAGCTCTGCTGTAAGATAAGTATTACTGTTAACATCTCGCAGCCATTGAGTCAGATGCGGGCTCTGAGATCTGCATTGCCCCTGCAGTGGCCAAGCTCACTCTTGCGCTCTCTCTGAAATACTTTCTGTTTTGCTCTCCCAGTGCTGCCACCTTTCACTTCTTTGGGAGCCACGCCAGACCCTGCTGAGTGGTTTAATGACTTATTGAACAGCACCACACCGAGGTGACTGTGCAGGTGCTGAGATGTCTCAGCTTCAGTAGACATCAGTCACACGAACCCACAAGGCAGGAAGCAAAGGGAACTCAGACACAACTGAAGCCTTCAGTGATTGTTTTAACAGGAATTTCCCTCCCGTGGGCAAAAACCAAGGAGCAGACTTTAAGGAGTAAGGCAGAAAGAAGTTGGCTGCTGAACAGATGTTGGTGGTTGTTTCAGGTATGGTGTACGGAGAGATCAAACAAAAGAACAAGGGTGTTGGGAATTCAAATAGGTCAAAATAAAAAGAAGGGCAGAAAGACGATACATTTTTCTGTTCTGTTAACAAAACAGGATAATGTATTCAGCCCATATGATAAAAATAGGCTTGTCCTGGGGAATATATACTTCTTAATCTGTGATAATTTCATGTGAAATGGTAGAATGTTTCATTCTGGATAACCAATGAAAATTGATAGCAGTTAAGTTGGTATCCTTGGACAGGATCTGTTGAAAACACCGAACTAGTATTCATAATGCAGACCTGAATTTCTCCAAGGCATCATCACACTTAATAACACAGAACATTTAATTTTAAAAAGTTTGCATTGTATGAAGTCAACAAGGCACATGTTGTGGCAGTGAACACAAACACAGTCTTGGGCTCATACTGTGAATTTCTGGAAAAAAACCCCTTGTTCTTCAGGAGCAGGTCCTGCAGTCACAATGCCAGTGGGAACCAGCATCCTATCTATCCATAAGGTTTCTCTCAGCTCTTCCTGTGACTCACCGCTGCGGCCTTCAGCCATCCCTGGGAAGCTTCACTCACTTTTACAGACCCATTGCTCTCCTCAGGCTCAAAGGTCACATTGCCCAGAGACAATACACCAGCCAAGATAGCCTGCATGTCCACTTGCTCCTAAAACACAAAAGAAAGGAGACCGAAAACATAACAGCATGTAACATATACAACGTGGAGGCCCCAGAAATTGGAGAGGTGAGGTAAAGGCACAGTCAGCCTGTGGGAAAAGGCTCTATGCAAAGCCTGACAGACTAAGGCATTTTGGAAACAACATGGAAATTCCAGAGAGGACAGAAATAGGACTAAGCCTCAAAACACCAGCCAGAAAGAAAACCTATGTCTGCAGGAAGTACAGAAGGAAATTAAATGACCCCAAAACTGACCTGTTCTTGGAAGCCCACCATGTCAAGGGCATTGCACACCTCTTGGTATTTGTGTTTCCAGTGCTGAGCTACATCCTGTGTACCAAATCGTCCACTTATGTACCTGAGAAAGTGCATATCCCATACAAAACCGTCACACAATCAGCACAGCAAGTCAGTCCTATCCCAAAGGAACAAAGCAAATCAGCAGCAGTGGAGACATGAAAAGGAAAGAAACTTTTCCAAGGTAATGCAGCAAAGAAGACTCCAGACCTCCCAGCTTCCATGATGACCCGTAAGACTTCTTCGTGTAGCTCCATTCAGATCCCACTCCAGCTTCCATTTATTTGTTTACCTGTACCAGGCTCCACAGATAGAGTCACAGGGCAGAGGCGTAAGCTCCATTATGTTGCTTTCCCCTCCACCCCCACCACGAAGACTAAACTAGAGTCTGCCTTTGAGGTACCTGTAGAGTGAAGGATCCAATAGCCCATACACCTCCTTTTCTTCTGAAGAGAGTCCAGCAAACATGTAGTAGAAGATATGGAAATTCCTCTCCCCAGTATCTTGTTGCACTACCCGTGACTTCTCTAACAGGTACTCACTCAGCTTTGCACCTTGCACTGCACACAAGAAGGTGACAGGGAAAACTTTGCACGTGGGGACATGAAGCTGACTGAGCTGACCCGCATCTCTTATTTGGTGATAGGAACATGGAATTTTCTAAAATAACTTTCTTGTGTGCAACACCCTTTAGGCTGCCCAGCACCCTGGAAATGGGCTTCTCCATGCTTCCCATCATCTTAGAGATGTCTGCTCACCTCTAGCAGCAACCAAGGCTTCTGGCACCATAGAGTATTACTGATACTTCCCCTGCACTGTCACCCCCGTATCCTTCCTGTATGCCCACACTGTCCAAACCCAGGCCTTATCCTACAGCTGTGGTTGCTCTAAGATTTTACTTAATTGCACACACTTTCCAGATGGAGTGAGGTGTCAGAAATTCATGCTCCACAAGTTCTGGCTACTCAGTCCACTCCTTCCAGCGCCTAACCGACCCCCAAACTAATAACTGCCCTTGACTTTACCTGTATTCTTCTGGAAACGCAGCTGTATGTATTTTCCAAAGCGGCTGCTGTTGTTATTCATCACAGTCTGGGCATTGCCAAAAGCTTCAAGCAACGGATTTACCTAAAACAAGCGAGCAAGCAGAACAAGCATTCTTCAAATTAAGTGATCCAAACTAATTTATTTGGAAAAGTTTAACCTTAGCATTTACTATTCAGCATTCAGCTGGAATAGGAACCACTCCATGAGTACCCAAGAGCCCCTATCTTATCATATCCTGGCTAAAGGAACTGAAAGAGGCAAATGTAACAAAGACTAAGTAGCATGAGATTACAGAAAATAGGCACAATCAAACTGATTTGATCTCAGTAAGATCACTGACTCATTTGTTAAAGGATAAGGTTGGTGTAACAGATTTCCACAAAGCATCTGACCTAGTACCACTAGATAATTTGACTGCTATACTAAAACAATAAACAAGGTCAACATGGCACTCAGTAAATGTAAGCATGATAACTTAGCTACTGACATCTGTAGACAGCATAAGACCTAGGACAGTGAATTATAAAGAAACTAATAGAACAATCAGACCAGCTTGGTAAACTGGATGAAAACAAGCTGAAGTGGCAATTTTTATATATTTGAGCAAGGAATGCCTGCTGATTGGAAGAACTATGCCCTAGGGTACAAGCTGGGCAGTCTGCTGAACACAGATTTACAGCATGACACTGTAATCCCAAAAGGGCTAACTCCGCCCTTGAATATATCTACAGGAAACAAGTAAGATGCCTATTATTTTTTCACCATCATCTCTAGGCTTTCCAAGGGCAGTTCACCTGGATTGAAGTGAACTTTGTTTCCAGTGGAGGAATTGCAGGCTCCCTCCAGGCACCAAGCCGAGCAAACATGGCTATTCTGCCTTCTGAACCTGCTCAGGTCAGAAGCAGCTTCACGGTGTGACCCAAGCCAGCAGGTATATCAATGCCATGTTCCCACAACAGAGCACAGACATCCACTGTGGACGATACCACACTGAAGTAATATTGCCCTTCCAGAGCCCAAAGCATCGTGCAGTGTATCGCGTTTACGTGTCAAAATTTTGCTAGTGAGGGGGCTACACGGGTGGTTTCTGTGAGAAGATGTCAGAAGCTCCCCCCATGTCTGACATGGCTCCAGATGGCTCTACGATGGACCTGATGCTGGCCAAGGCCAAGCCCATCAGCAACACCAGTAGCACCTCTGTGATAACATATTTAAGACTGGGGAAAAAACTCTGCGCTACAGGAGCCAGAAGATAGGAGTGAAAATAGGTCAGAGAAACAACTCTGTGGACAGCAAGGTCAGTGGAGGAGCGGGATGAGATGCTCCGGGTGCCAGAGCAGAGATTCCCCTGCAGCCCCTGGTGAAGACCATGGTGGGGCAGGCTGTGTCCCTGCAGCTCACAGAGAACCACGGTGGAGCAGATCTCCACCTGCAGCCCGTGGAGGACCCCATGCCAGAGCACATGGATGTCCAAAGGAGGCTGTGACCCCATGAAACCAGCTCCTGGCAGGACGTGTGGATCCAGAGAGACAGAAGCCCACGCTGGAGCAGGTTTGCTGACAGGATTTGTGACCCCATGGGAGACCCATGCTGGAGCAGTCTGTTCCTGAAGGACTGAATCCCACTGGAGGGACTCACCCTGCAGCAGTTCATGAAGAACTGCAGCCCATGGGAAGGACCCACATTGGAGAAATTTGTGGAGGACTGTCTCCTGTGGGATGGACTGTACGCTGGAGCAGGGGAAGAGTGTGAGGAGAAATGAGCAGTAGAGACAACATGTGCTGAACTGACCACCACCCCCATTCCTTATCCCCCTGTGCCGCTGGCAGGGAGGAGGCAGAAAAATCAGGAGTGAAGTTGAGTCTTGGAGGAAAGAAGAGGTCAGGGGAAGGTGTTTTAAGATTTGTTCTTATTTCTCATTATCCTACTCCAATGTTATTTGGCAATAAATTAAATTGGTTTTCCCCAAGTCAAGTCTGTTTTGCCTACAATGGTAATTGCTGGGTGGTCTCCCTGTACTTATCTTGACCCACAAGCTTTTTGTTGTATTTTGCACTCCCTTGTCCAGTTGAGGGGGGTAATAGAGAGGCTTGTCAGGCACCTGGTATCCAGCCAAAGTTAACCCAGTGCACACAGAAAGATCTCTGGCTCCACAGGAAACCTAAAAACAGACTTTAAAATTAAGTAGTCCGAGAACTCACTCTGCTTGATCTATCACATGGAAGGGTAAAGTATGATTTGATCAAAAAACCTCACAACTCCTTGGAGAGCAATTCAAGTGGAAATAGTTCAGACCAAAGAGACAAATATGTTTCAAAATCAGCAAAGGTATATGAAAATAGTAGAAGTTAGGCAGTTAGCACGTATGAGCCTGACAGTAAGTATAAGTAGCCAAGGAAAGGTGACTGAAGGCTGTGTGGATTTTCCATCCCTGTGTACCATTAAATCAAGACTTCATTTTTCTAATAAAAGTCCTTGTTCTACCTCAAACAGGAAATTATTCTGAAAAATGCCCCTAATGCCTTGTCACACAGAATGTGATAAGTGATTGCAATAATTTTCTATCATTTAGGATACCGCTACATTCCCAGCAAACAGAATTGCTGACCTACCAACCTTCTAATTTGTGGTCAGCTATTTTACCATCCTTACCCAGTATTTTCTTACATGTCTTATGGTTTGCTCCCTGGCTTTCGGTGGTGATTCGTCATCAGGCTTCCTGAGCCTAATCCAAGCTGTCTTGCAGCAGTGTTGCTTCTGCATCTTCAAGTACCAGTGACCTACCTGAAGGATCTGCCGTTCCAGCTGCGAGTTGCCTTTGCATAGGTTCATTATATGTTGCAACAATAGCTTCGTACTCTCTGTTTTCCCTGCACCACTCTCTCCACTGCCAAGAAAAAGCAAAGGAAATTCCAGCAGCCATAAAGGATAGTTGTTCTGCCCCTCAGGTCTTAGTGCCCAATCACTTGAGAGTGCCCTCCTGTCGAAGAATTTTGTAACTGTTTCAGCCAAACTGCATGTGTGAGTATAAACTCACACCACAGCTTTACACAGCAGGTCCCACAAGGTCCTGATCCCTCCCCAGGGGAATTTTTCCCCATCTGCCAGGAAGTACAGGTATACTCCATGTCATCACTTCTGGATGGGGTGCATCTGACGGACCATTTGCCCTGTTTACTAAGAAAAAATGTATCTAACTTCTGGAAAACAACCTCCTTCAAAACTGACCCGATTGATCGACTCCCCTACATACGCTAGAGACAACAGCTCTCTGAAGAGAGGCTTGCCCCATCCATCTCACAGCCACAACAGAGTGCTGATCTTGAGATACGGCGGCAACCTCACATCGCAGTCGGCTTCGCGCTCTCGCAGGTATCAGCCGGTTGGGAAGGCGGGCACACAGCCGCAGAGCTGCCCCCACACCCTCGGCGGCAGCCGTGCGCGTCGCTCTGCCGTCACACGTGCCCAGCGCCGCCGCCGCCTCCAAGTCAAACAAGCAGCACTTGGAAAGTGCAGTTTCCCCTGTCCTGGGAGGGGGAACGTACTATCAGTGAGACGACGTGTCCTTGACTGACATCATACTGACAGAGAACTTCAGCGTATGCACAGAAAAAAACAAATGCAGGAAACGCTGAAGGTATCCTTGAGGGCAGGCCTCTGTTTCCACACCCGACCTTTGAGCATCTGGTGTGGTTTTACTGCTTTGTAGTACTGGTGTGGTAGCTCTGCTCTTGGGATCAACTCTGTGTCATAGGTGGCTAAATACCGGAACAGATACCTGATTCTCAAGCACAGATTGGGCCATCACCATCTGAATATGCACAAAGACTGTTTTGGCAGTTGAGAACGTGCTATCCAGACAGCGCCTCTGCTCAGTATACGTGTTTTTGTTTTCACTGACCTCCCCCTCCACAAAAGCACTATCAGTCAGCACTCCCATGCTTCAAACTTGTCCTTGTACCCTCTAACAAGCACAACAGCTTCACCAGACCCTGAAAACACTCTCCAGCTGCAGGCGTGTAACTGCCCCAGGCTGTGAGAAAAGTAATCTCCAGGAGACCCAAGTGCTGTACCACAGCACACCCAGGCTGTGACTAATGTCCATTGAGATTGGGAAGGCAAGAGGAGCCAGCGGAATTTGCAGCACAGAACAACTTGACTCCAACCACCATTTGCCACCTAGGGGCAGCCACTGTGTTCAACATTAACCTCTGAAACATGTCATCCAGACCCCCCAGGCTAAGTTGGAGACACCAAAGAGCCCACAAAGAATAGTGGAGCCATGCTGTTCTGATGAACTGTGGTCTATCAGGAGCGACTTCCTCCTCCCCCTCTGCCCCAAGTTTGCTTATGACAGGTAATCTTATTAATGAGCATTTAACCACTCACAGAGAGCAAAAACATGAACCTCCTGTGACAGCAACACACAGAGCAGTTAATAGGGTTGCAAGATGAGCAGGAGTAGCTCAGACTCCCATCTCTGAGACCAGAAACCGTGAGCAGAAAACAATCAGACCACAGACTTCTTGGCAAATGCCCAAAGGTTACTCTCTTGTCTTCCATCTCCCAAGACAAATAATATGACTGTTCTTCATCCCTAAAGCGCCCTACCAGCAGCACCTCCTCCACCTGCTGACTCCACAGCCACTTCATGAGACCCCTGAACCTAAAGCACAGGCACTGACGGCTTGCAGGCTACAGAAATGAGTGGGGCGCAAGTGACCCTCAAGGTCAGCTCCCAGTCCCACCACAACACTCAGCAGTGACTCAGCAAGTCATTTCTACACCCTGTAGACTGAAAATACTGATAAAATGATCAGAAGGCCAATATAAAGAAGGGAATATTAAATCAAACAAGCTGGCAATTAACATCTTAACTGAGATGACATTCCAACCATCCTCTGCAACACCCAAAACAGGCAGTTAGTGTTCCTCGATGCTGTTGGAGGCTTTCTCTGCTAGTTGATGTTGCTCCAGGCTTTCTCTGCTGGTTGATGCTATCTGCTGCACTGCACAATTTTAGCAGAACAATAGTGACATCATGGGGTGAAATGCTCGTGACACGGGTACGGTCTTCTATTACAAGAGTCCATTTTTTTCCTTTCTAGTGCACAGAACTGACCAGGACAGTAAGATTTTCCCTGACCAGACTCCCAAAGATCTTGGGGCAAAAAACCTTCTGTTTTTCTTTCTCCTGCTCTTTGGTTATATAAGGGAAGCTCCACTTTTGTAAAGCGGGTTCCTGTCATTACGTGTAATGTTTGTTACAGAAGTTACAGGGGGGACGTTTTGCCAAAGAAGAACACCCTATGGCTTTCCCCACAGCTGGTGAAATCCTTCCCATGTCAACTGCTCTCCAGACACAGACCCGACATACCTATCTGCATTACCAGCATCGGCAGCCGAGCCCCTCCACAAAAGCCAGCTTTGTTTGCCCCCCACCTCCACTCACAATCTGCCCGCTCTCCGGTCTGGGAAGCGGACGGGTCGGGAGGAACAATGTGCTGCAAGCGCAGCCGGGTTTTGGCTCACCAACAGCACCGGGGATGAGCTTCACCCGAAACTTCAGCGGGGAGAGCCCAGCGAGAGAGCTCGCTGGCTGCCACCGGGACCCCCGCATCTGCCTGGCTCCGGCGAGCCCCCCCGCCCGGCCCGGTCGCCCACCCCGGACCTCACCTGATGACGATACACTGGCTCTGGGGCCCTCCGCTCCGGTGGCCCAGCATGGCGTGGTAGGCCCGGCTGGCCACGGCGAAGATGTGGGGCGGCAGCGTGGCTGTGTCGGGGCGCCGGTACCGCTCGGAGACCTGAGGGGGGAAGCGGTGGCGGAGAAGGCGGTAAAGGGGCTTGGGCGGGGGGGGGCGGAGGGGCCGGCGGGGGACTCACCTCTCTCCCGTACAGCGGCAGGGGCTGGAAGGGGTTCATGGCGATGAGGATGTCCCCGACGTCGGTCTGGCGGGGAGGGGAGAGCCCGTCAGCCGAGCGCCCGCCGCCGCCCCCCCGCCGCCCCGGCCCCCGGCACTCACGTAGACCTCCAGCCGCAGGAACCGCTCCCGCAGCCCCTCCAGCAGCGACGCCTCATCCAGCTCCGCCAGCGCCGCCAGGTCCCCCCCGCCCGCCCCCGGCGCCGGGCAACGCTCCCCCGGCGACCCCATGCCGAGCCGCCCCTCCTCGGACACGGCACCGCCGGCCCCGTTCCCTCTCCCGCTCCGCCCCGGGACCGCCCGCCGGGGCGGAGCCAGCGTTTGAACGCGGGGCGGCGGCGGGGACCGGCAGGTAACGGGCGGTGGCGGCGGCCGGGTCCCGCTGTGGGGCCGGCGGGTCCCGCTGTGGGGCCGGCGGGTCCGCAGCGCGCTCCGAGGGGAGCGGGGGGGGGTGGGTGGCCGTGGGCTGGGGCCGCGCCCGCGCCCTGCCCGCCTCCTGCGGGTCCTGCCTGGCGGCCCGCGGGGCGCGGGGGGGGGGGGAGCCCCACGCAGGGCCGCCCCTCGGGCGGGGCGGGGGGGGGAGCCTGCCCGCCGCCTGTTCCACGGCAATCGCCCGCCTCGGAGGTGGGATGTGGAGCTGAGCGGCCCGTGGGGGTGGTTAACTTCGGAGGCACCGGGGGGTGGCTGTGCTGCGGTAACAAAGAGAGGCTTTTTGGAGGGTGTTCCAAGTGGGAAACTTAGAAATGTTGGAGGGAATATTGCTAGCGGGGTGCCGTAAGGTCACAGCTACAGAAAGTATTCGGTGGTTTCTATTCCGAGGCTGAGAAGAGATAGGCAAGCTGGAGTGCTTCTGTCACCTGTAGCTGAAGTATTTTCTAGTTACCCCTGGGCTCCAGACAACTCTCGCCCTGCAGACCTGAGACAGTTAGAATGTAATATATTTTGGAATAATAGGAGCGCTTGCACAGTTTTATGTGAGCAGAAGATAGTCAGACCTGGTGCAATTTTTTTCTTTTCTCTCTCTTTTTTTTTTTTTTTTTTTTTTAATTATTATTTGTTAAAATAAACTGGCCTGTAAAATTCAAATCATAACTGCAACCTATCCCTGCTAAGGGCGTTCTGTGAAAGGTGGCGTTTAAATCTCTTGTTGGTGAGTAGTGTGCAGCTGCACGCTAGTGCTAAGCTCTTGTGTGGTATTGCCCGCAGCGCTGCCTCTGACCCCAGGGGTGCCAGGTCTGCTCTGTTTGAGCAAGACAGAGCCTCGATGAGGCTGATGGCTGTGTCGTGGGTGAATAGAAGGATAAACCTCTGGAGAATCTCCTGCTGCTGTAAAATATTGCACGTGTCCCTCAGCTATCTGGACTTTCACTAACTCTTTAAATGAGTCTTGGTACTTATTTGACGCGGAAGTTCTGTTTCACACATTGTTGTCTGAAATGTCTGTGTAAGATTGCATTTGACAAATTCCCTTCTCTACAATGGCACATCTTTGTGTATTAATACAGCTCATCCCTGTGGGAGCCAGAACTTTTGTGGAGGTAGCTCAGCTTCCGCAGGAACTGCAGACTTCATGCTGTAGCAAGTGTGCAACAGCCTGCACTGCCTTTTAATCAAAAGGCACAGCAATATTTAACTGCTGCTCTGCTAACACATGCCCTTTTCTCTGAGAGAGAATGATAAGAGTGTTCTTCCTTGTAACAAAAGCATGATGCTCTTGCAGAAGAGAAGAGCAGCAGTGAATCTGGTTAATAAGTGGATAGTGTGATCCATAGCATTTGCTTAGTCTCATTTCTAAAACAACAAACTACTTGTTAGAAAATGACGTTGCAAACCGCTTGCTTCTTGTGAACCTCCATGGGAAAACAATCAAGAGTGCTTTCTTTTTTTTCTCTCTCTCTTGCTGCCTCCCCCTTCCCCGACAAATCTTATGGCTGTTTTCTACATGCAGTACCTCTTCCACCCACTAACTTCCTTGAATTTACTGAGAATTTTGCACGGAGAACGGGGCAAAGCACAGGAAGCAGTGGTTTTTGTGTGGGATTGTACACTTGAGCTTACAGATATACCGTAATATACTGCTTTTGCTTTCGTGTTCTGGTGTTTCTAACACTGTTCCTCTGGTTTATGCAGGGCTCCTGTACCCGTGGGTAGGAACGCAGAGGAAGCTGTTAATAACAGTTGTTGGCAATTGACTTCCCTTATTTCATAGTAAAGCGTAGAGTTTCTAGCTCAGAATCCTATCCTGTGGCATAAGTCTTTGTGTGTCCATCTCATTTGTTGCGTGTCCATCTCTCTTGGCATTTCAGGATTGATTACCTTTCTATATACCAGCCCGAGGCTGCCATGAGTGATTTGTCCCTGTTATTTATGGCTGGAGCAAACACTGTGGAAGAGCAGAGGGCTCGCTGGGAGAGAAAGCGCAGCCGGACAGCCAAGGAGCTGCTGGAAACCGAACACAGATACCTTGAGCAGCTGGATTTGGTGGTCACAGTGAGTGTTTAGTCTCCTTCTGATATGTGGGTATCTTCAGGCAGCGTGTACTTACTTGTGTTGTTACGGGGGAAGGGTCAAGAGAAAGACTTTGATCCATCCCTACTGCATGGGACAGCTGCTGGGCTTGAAAGGTTTTTTTGTTGTTTTTCTTTTGCCTCCTCTGTAATAACTGATGGATGGCTTGTGGTTTTGGCCTATTGGCTTTGATCTGTACACAAGCATAAATCTTTAAGTTTTGATTGTACAGGAGATTCATGCATCTCAGGCATTGTAAGGGAATATGTAAGGGCACAAACAAGTCAAAGATAGATTATGAACAAGGGGGGAAAAACAGTTGTGTCCAGGAATACTGAAATAGACTGTATCAGTGCTGTAGTGCTGTTCCACGTGTTTACAGTTATGGTCAAAGTTATCAAGAAGGCTTACGTCTGATGATAGAAGTCTAGGGTAGGCATTCACAATACTTGATATCTTTTTGAGCTAGAGAGTGTGCAAGCTGTAACTTCTTGCTTCTGCTGTGTGTCACAAATAACCTTTGAATGACCTGTGAATTTTACCTGTTTGCAATTCTCTCTTTTTTCCTACTTAGTTCTTTGTGACTATTTTAAAGGCCAAAGGGACGCTGAAACCAGCTGTGTTAGAAACCATATTTGGGCCCCTGGAATCCATATATTCAGCCAGCCAGTAAGTGAACACACCGATGTGATTCCTGTAATTATATGGGGAGGGCCCTATATTGATGGGAAAGTAGGATTTCGGGAAATAAAGCTAACACCTTGTGAAACAGGCATTCACTTCTAGCACTGCTAGCCTCGGTGGCACTTGCAGATGTACCCAGGAAACCGCTGATCTGTATCCACATATCCAGATGCCCAGTTGCTCTCTGGATAGTGGTTTAAATGCAGTAAGTATACTCTGCGATGTTTTTTAAGGGATGTTTTCTGTAGCTTACTCTGTGACCACCAAGCTCGCATTTGGCACAGAAACTGGATGTGAGTCAGAGACTGACAAAGGAAGGCCAGCATAGGAGTGAACCAGAGGGATCTGTGAAAACGCCATCAGTAATGTACCCCTCATGAGCAGTCTTTGCTCCTTGTGCACAGTGTTCTGTCACTTCACCTGGAGAGAGGGAGTTTGGAACCAGGATTGGAAAGTTTCTGTCAGAATCTGGAGCTTTATGGCCGCTATGCTGAGAATTTGGAGCAGGCAAATGAAACCTTGAAGGTAAACATCTCCCTTATTCTTCATGTTCTTTCTTCTCTTTCTTTACGTATTCTGTGAAACAGCTACATCCTTCCTTTTTCTTCTATTTCCGGAGTGATCAGTTTTCTTCTTTTTTTCTGGGCTGTTGATACTTTCTCACTTTCTTCTGTAATAGAATGGTGAAACTTTTCTACTTATTTATAGCTCCAAATACAAACTGTCTTGAAAGAAATTTGAGAAGGATATAATTTTATTTGAAAGTATTGACAGTTGTATCTGGAATTTAAACCACCTGACTTCCAGTTTTTGTCCATGCTTGTTCCCAGCTGCGGGATGTACGGGGATGTTTCCCTGCTGTTCTGTTTGCATGCATATATTCACAGTGATGATTTCCCAAAAGAAAAAAAAAAAACAACAACTTTTTGGATACTTGCCTTGAGATGAGTTTCATGGGTATACTAGCTTTATACTGCTGTGCACGTATGAAGAGGGAATATTACTTCCACTACCCACTGGGAAATGGTAAGAAGAAATGGAATTGCTTGTCCGTGGCCACAAAAGAAGCTGTTGATGCTTGTGTTTAGGACTGGAGTCCTAAACTCTACGGGTTTTAAGAGTTTCAAGCTCTGCTGTAGACTATAGCACATATTTTTCTCTATAATCTCAAAGCTATATGCCTTTGCTGCTGCACACAGGAACAACTGAGGAAAAATAAGTCATTCCAACGCTTCAAGAAACTTCAGGAGACTCGACCTCAGTTTCAAGGGAGGAAGCTAGAGGATTTGCTTCCTTTGCCCCTGCAGAGGCTGCACCAGTAAGTAAGCAATTCTGAGTCTTCAAGGTGTTAGTTCAAGAGGGAAAAGGGAACATAACAATGCCTTGGTTGCTATGGGAGGTAAAGTTGCTTAATGTGTCTCAAAATCAGAGCATATAGACAGCAATGAAGCAGACCTGAAGACGTGCCTGTAAAGTGGCATTGGTGTACATGGATGGGAGATGATGCAGCGAAGTAGCTACGTTTAGCCTTGGCTCCTCAGCCCTTCATCTACACCTTGGGTAGAATTGAAGTGGAGGCTTTCTATCATCTCAGTAAGCTACTGAAGTTAAGTCGTGAACAAAAACAAGCTGTCTGAAGTGGTGCTCTCTGCCAGAGATGGTCTTGCTCTGCTTTTGTGCAGGTTGCTGACCTGGAGCATTGTGACTGTCCTCTCTTGTAAATGGTTGCTTTTGGAGAGAGATGAGATAAATCAACATGGGGGAGGTTTCTCCCCTCTCTAGTTACCAGGACCGTATGCCTGCCTCAGATTTGGTGCCTCTTGCAGCTGTCTGAGCCTGGACAGATCCAGTCTGGATTGCTGCATTCCTCTCACGAGGCATCATCACCCATTTGAAGAGGCAGGCAGACTGCAGGAGACAAATGCTGAATGCACTCAGGGGCTGCCCTTTATCGGGGGAGGGTGTGTGGGTAATACAGAGTGCAGGTAATTTGCTGGGAGCCCTGCTGCTGCTATAGCTCAAGTATCTGCTCTTCAACCATGGTCTTATTCATGCTAAAACAAATTTGAGATATTGAAAGCATCCTTTCTTTGAAAATAGCTTTGAGTGAGCATACCACAGTCTTTCAAGTAGTTTTATGTAACCTTTTTAATCAGCTTGGCAGATATAAAAGTAAGCTTTCTTTTTACTGTAATTCTTTGGATCATTCCTTTAAGTTTGTGAAATAGCAGTATATTTGTTGCTGTCCAACTGCTTGGAAAAATGGTGGCTTTTTAACAGAAGGTCTAATTTTTTTAATTAATCAGCTCTTTCAGTTAAGGTTTCTTCAAAACTCTGTTACATATACTGCAGGACATATGAATTCTGCCAGCTCACGAATCTGTTCAATGTGATATTTATTCTGTCATTTCAGACTGAAAATAGTTTGACTTTATTGGGAGAAAACATTTGCAGAGATATCCTTTCCGGTAAAGATAGGAGAGGAAGAAAGAAAAGGTGGCTCCTCATTCTTGTAGAAATGCCTTTATTTTCTTGTGTGGGCAGGAAACATATGGTATGAATGCTACCATTCAGACGTTAAAAAAAAATATTTCAAGGAGAAATTTGTCTGTTATTGAAGGCATTTTTATGTGAATGCTAAGAGAGTCTCATGAATTTAAGTAATATATGAGGTTGCTTTTATCAGATTCCCCCCGGAAATTCTAAAGGTTTGCAAATGTATAAAACACTTGAGTTAATTTAGTTGATAAATTTGAAGATAAAATTAATGTGATCGAATAATTGTGTCCAAAAGCTGCTTAGTTAGACTTAGAGATGTGTTCTCCATCTCCTGGTGGAGTGTTGCTCATCATTCTGTCACTAATAGGAGATGCTGTTGTTTCTGGCATCTTTTTGTGTAATAAATCTGCTCTCTTTATCTTAGGTACAAGCATTTCATCAGAGACCTGCAGGAGAATACCAGCCCAGACAGTGCTGAGTACCAGAAACTTGCAAGTATGATTCCACCTGTAGATGCTGGCACTTTGATCAGTGTTAGCCTCCTTGCTAATAATATTTGGATTCTCGTCCTCTGTCTAATTCCACAGGAAGAAAAATCTTCCTCTCTGGTGTTCTAGTGGATTACTATTTCCCTTCTCCATCTTGATCAAGATGTCTCCGAAAACACATTGAGAACAAAAATGTTGAGTAACTGACTGGGAAAGTGGCCTAGGGGTTAGGTTGGAGAAATGGGAGCTCTTCTTTTTTTATGATGATGGTGGTGAGACACTGGAACAGGTTGCCCAGGGAAGTTGTTGATGCCCCATCACTGGAATTGTTCAAGGCCAGGTTGGATGGGGCTTTGAGAAACCTGATCTAGTGAAAAATGTTTCTGCCCATGGCAGGGGAGATTAACTAGATGATCTTTAACTGTTCCTTCCAACCCATTCTATGACTCTATTGGTCATGTGCATTAATTTTTCTAGGATGATTCATGTTCTTCATGCCATATTTACTAGCAGTTAACATCACTTATGGGGCATTCTTCCTGGTTTTGCTTCTGAATCCAGGAAATTATTCCTCTGTCTAATATTTCATTGGCAAATAAATGTTTTCTAGAACCTCAGAAGTGTTGATTGGAGAGAGGCATGTGGAGGTCATCTTGTCCAATCTCCTGCTGAAATTACTGAGTAAATCTGTTGTTGATACTTGGTTTAAAACATTTGCTTCCTAATTTCACCTTATCTTTTCACAGTAAGATAGATAAGGTGTAATACATACTCATTTGGGATAACGTCAGGATATGCTGTTATGATTTCAGAGGCTGTAAAATCTGTTTCTGAGGTATCTCGGTGGGTCCAAGACATCATTCATAAAAGAGAGAACTCATTTCAGCTACTCCGGGTTCAGAAACTGCTCAAAGGAGAGAAGATCCAGGTTTTGACTCCAGGTGGGTCTTACTGACAGCTCTGCTTTTCTTCTTCCAAGCTGAGATAACTGGAGGAGATATGCTTACCTTCATCTCTGACTCGACTCATATTAACCAGTTTTCCCTTTCTGCCAAAATTCCATAGATAAGTGGTGAAGGAATATTACTAGTAATTCAGGCACCTTTTTTTTTTTTTTTAATTAAGAATTTTTGAGTAAGGATAATCAGGAGCTTAGCTGCCTGACATTCAGATAGGAGGAATTGATGTGTAGTTAGAAAGTTATTAATGGGAACCTAAGGAGGTCAGGAATGTAAGTCCTGGTTGAGAATTAAAGTGACATGAAGTAATTTTGGAAGAGTGTAAGTGGTGGTGTTGTCTCTACTCCATTGCAGGAACCATAGATCTCTGAGTGTCAAGAGCCCAAACACTGTGGTGTTTTTTATTTTAAGCTACAAACTCTGGACTTCTTCACGTGAAGGGTGCGAACAGAATCTTCTTTTATCTGCATGGTTAAACTGTGCCAGAAACCAGAGTATTTCTGTTGGTAGTTGAGATACGTGCCAGTGACTGGGACTTTATGTAAGATCATCTAATTGAATAACAGGTTTCTTTATGACCTCTTGTGTGGCATGCTTCAAGCTATGTCTGGAATATTGTGAGAAATGTGTCCAGTCTGGGCAGTTGCAAAATGGCCTCTTGGGGCTTCACCTGTTCCTTCACTAAATACTGGTATTGAGGAGGTGATCTGTAAACAGCGCTGCAGCCGGAGTGTTAAAGTCACCCTGTGTAAAGGTCTCTAAGGCACACCTTCAGGTACTCATGAATGTGGTTGTAATTAGTAAGTGTGGATGTTTGGGTGGAAAAACCATCCCCCAGTGGGATGGGGGAGAGAATCAGAAGGGTAAAGTAAGGAAACTTGTAGGTTGAGATAAAACCAGTTTAACAGGTAAGGCAAAAGCTGCTCACACAAGCAAAGGAAAGGAAGGAATTGATTCACTCCTTCCCATGGGCAGACAGGGGCTCAGCCATCCCCAGGACAGCCGGGCTCTGTCACATCAGTTACTTGTGAGGACAAAAGCCATCACTCCAAACTTCACCCCGCTTCCTCCTTCCCCCAGCTTTATATGCCGAGCATGCCACCACATGGTATGGAGTATCCTTTGGTCAGCTGGGGTCAGCTGTCCCGGCTGTGCCCCCTCCAGCTTCTTGTGCACCCCCAGCCCACTCACTGGTGGGGTGGTGTGAGAAGTAAGAAAGGCCTTGGCTCTGTGTAAGCACTGCTCAGCAATAACAAAAACATTGCTGTATTATCAACACTGTTTCCAGCACAAATCCACAACATAGCCCTATACCAGTTACTATCAAGAAAATTAACTCTAACTGAGCCAAAGCAGGATGGCTGGAAAAAGAGGTTATTTATCAGGGTATCATTCTCAAAGATGCTCAGTCGATGGGCATGTTAATTTACAATTCACTTTCTGATTTTTCTTAGAATCCTTTTGGTGATGCTAGCTGAAAATGAGCTAACACAGATATGCTTTTCTTATCCTGGGTGTAAGCATGTGTGTGGGTGCCTGGGCACACTGGGGTAGCCCATAAGTAAAAAGTTAAAATGGTCATCCTGAATGACAAAGCTAATATGATAACCCTATGACAAAAAAAAAAAAAAAAAAACAGACAACCTCCAAACACTATAGCTAGACCAGAGATGGTCATCATTTGAAAGCATTGGGTCACTTCTTTTTTTGTCTCCAAATATTGAAACATGTAGCAGGACAAGTGTTGAGGGTCTATAGACACCTTTCCACTATTTAGGACAAGAATTTGATAAATCACATGCCCCTGGGAGTCCTGCACGTGGATCTGTATCCCAAGACTTCTACCACAGTCCAGCTCAGACTATGCCAGCAAGTCTGATCACAGCTTAACCTGAGGGAAACAGTCCCCAGTCTAACCCCATGCTGCTGACACCTTCCTTCCATTTGTGTTTTAAACTTGGACTGATTCCTGCACCTCACCCTTCTCTTTCTCAGTTTCTTATTCAGATAAGGGGAGTGGTTTCTGTGGAGTCAGCTAAGCAGGAATTCACTTGCCTCTGTGTTTTGTGACTGTAGCATACTAAGAAAGACATAATTAAAACAAACTTACATTGTTTTCTAAAATGTACTTACTAGCTCAGCTGAAAGCTAAGGCACAAAAAACAGTGGCTGAAATCCTCTGACAGGTGTTTCCTAGACTAAGCCAGATGGCAATACCTTATTATCGCTTTGAATTTTTATAGATAAACTTAATGGTAGGAGTCTTTATAATTCGCATGAGCTGATGGCTATCTTGTACAATAATCCTTCTAGTTAGAAGCAGTGCTTTAATTACTCCATTTTGTGTAGATGCCATTTTTTTTTTATTGCTGCTATATAGCTAGGTTTAATTGTTTTATTATTTTTTTTTTGTTTCCTGCTGATTTTGCTGCCTTTTGTTTTACTGCAATTAATTTAATTTGTAGATGACACTGGGCCCTATTCTGAGAGAGAAGGTTGATAAGGTTGCCTATTCAGACCTTCCCTCTAATATGTTGTTTTGTATCCCCTTTGCTGTCTTCTCATTAGAAGGGTAATCTGCATTCTGTAATCTGTTACCTACTGGAGGTCTGTATGTGGTTAAATGACCTGTGAAACTTTTTTATTTTAATTAGCACACACAGCCAAACAAAACAAGGAAAAAAGAATAACTGTTCAAAGTTTAAGCTTAGGCTAACTTCTGTTTCACCACTAATGACAAACAACCGGGCAACACAATTTCAGATAATTCATGGTATATTTTCTAAAGGCTTATGTTAATTTAAGGGTATGCATGCCATTTTTGAATCATGTTTTTGTTCTAGTCTCTTTAAATAGTTGCATATTATAATGTCCTTTTAATTAACATAGCAGATTTATAACAACTTCAGTCTGCTGATCACATCCTAAATGTTTTGGGCTGACTGCTTCTGCATGGGTGCTAACAGTGCTGGTGATCTGTTCCCAGTTGATACTCAGTGCCATCTAGTGGATGGAATTGATGTAGAACCTGGTAACCTGCAAGGGTAGTTCACTGTGTTCCTGTTTGTCTCATTACATCGTGGTTTTTTTTTTTTTTTGTGTGTTTGTTGTTGTGTTTGTTTTTGTTTTTTTTTTTGTTTTTTTCCCCCTCGATGATGATCTGACAGCTGTCCTTATTTCCCTTTCATGCCTAGGGCGCTGGTATATCCGGGAAGGCTGGCTCTTGGTGGTGCCTTCAAAGGGAGAAGAACTGAAGCGCAGGATGTTCTTCCTTTTTTCTGATATTTTTATTGCAACGAAGCCCTGCCACCCACTGCACCCACTAAACTCGAACAAATTGGCATGCCAGGCAGTCTACCCACTTCACCAGTGCATAGTGGATAAAGTGTTCGGCCACACGCGGAGCCAGGGAGGGCTCCTCAGTGTAAGTCTTTCTGCTTCTGCCTGGCAGAGGCATCAGTGGCATCAGAATTGAGAAGCAGGTCTCTAACTGTCTCAGCAGCACCAGGACTGAGATGATGAGTGGTGACAACAGTAAATGCAGCGAACTAGTCTGAGTTAGGGCAACACTTTTTTCCTTGAGTGATGTAGGTCCTTTTCCCTTCATGGTGTATGCCCTCCCAAGTGCTCTGGGGTACAGGTTCCTAGTCGCTTCACTTAACTCAGGTGAGGAGGGTCCAGTAAGACTGACATGCCCTCAGCAGAGCCACAATTTGGGGGCACAGCCCCACAATCATGTGACAATGAATATGTAGCATTACATTGACTGTGGCCTGAGCTTATAGAAAACCCTGAAAAACATGGGTTTTCTATAAGAAAACTGCAAAAAGAAAGTGGGTATTATCACAACAGATATTGCTTGTGCATCTAACTCCCTGAAGGCTGCAGGGTCTTTGACTGGGACTGATGCCTTAAGTAGAGCTTTCAAGTTCAGGTCTTTCTAGATTGAAGCACCTGGGGGCTGTGTTAGCTCATTCTTTGTGAGCTACGGCAAGGAAAACTCTTTGGGCAAGCTGTGATCTGTGGTGGTAGTGGAAGGACCCCTAGGGGCAGCTTGGAATATGGGAGAAAACTGGGTGAAGAGCTGCTTAGAACTGTAATTGCCCACTTCCAAACATGCTATTAAGTCAAAGTGAGCTGTCATCTGTGGCTGGAGGGAATGGGCAACACTGCCACTTGCTCTGTGCTGTCCAGCCCCTGGCTGCTCCAAGTACCAATGCTAAATTTTTCTATCTGGCAAAGGAAATGGTGGAAATCAGCGTGCAGGACTGAGTTGAGCTTGGTGGTGATGGCACTACTTTTATCAGAGTTGCTGCCTTGGCAAGGAATGCCACAGAGTGGCACCAGGTTGTGTTTGCCTTTCAGCTTTCCTTTCCACACAAGACACTGTTGTTGATGTCCAGTGACCAGCAAGATATTAATGACTGGCATCGGAGTCTCACAGCTGCAGTCAGGTAGACATATATTTTCCAGAGGTGGAAGTGGCTGAGGGAGGGGGGCAGAACATAAAAAGATCATACAGATGTGTATTTGCATGTATTAGAGGGTTATAAGGCTGCTAGAAAAAACCTGACTGGCATCCAGGATATAAGGAAACAGTAAGAACAGATTTAATGTATTAACAGTGATCTTCCCCTTTGTTTTCCTCTACAGGCAGCTGAAAGCTTGATCCACATGAGTACAAGACATACTGGCAGGACAGTCTCCCCTCTCAGTAGAAGCCTACACAGTCTTAGGAAATATTCAAGGACATGTAGTGGACGAATTGCATTTAGAGGGACTGTACACCATGCTTGTGAGATTATAAATGCTTTGTCAGGTGTCCTAATCCTAATACAGATATTGCAAAAAAAATGTATGCAAACGAAGGATTTGTATATAGAAAATCTGTATCAGGAATTTTCCCCAATTAAGTTTAGAAGCTTCTAGCTTTCCTATACTTTTTTCTCTTCAGATTATTAATTTCAGAACAAACAGGAGAGACCCTAACCTGCTTTTCCTCATTAAATGTTTTTATCTTTCTAAATCAGTGTTTTCATATTTATTTGTCTACATATGCCTACCTGCTCTTGCTTCTGGGTCCTTTGATCAAAATGCATGTTTTGGATGATGGTAACATGGGTATAACACTGTATTTTCAGCTAGCGCTACAGGGCTATAGTCATCTTCCTCCCTTGACATGTTTTTATCGTTCATATCCTTGAGTTTTCTACCAGAATAATTTGACAGTTATTGTCCCTCCTCCTCTAAGCAAGTGACAGGTGGGAAGATCAAGAGAAAATGATCCAATAGTTAAAATACTACCACTCAGTTTTTCATCAATCCCACAGAAAAATTAATCTGCTGAACTATCTGAAATAAACTGGTAGTTAAGCATAAGTCTATGTTATCAAATATCATTCACATTTCTAATCTGAATCCTAAGAGATGATGCTGATGAAACAGCACTCATCTTTGCCTTCAAAGTATGCAGTAGCCTTATCACTTCAAAATGATGCAGTGAAAAGCTTGGGCTGCACTTCTGCCCCTGAAACACAGGAAAAATATCCAGAGGGCTACAGTCAGAATTCTGGGTCATCAATTACTGGTAATGTGCTACGGTTCAGATTACTAGCTTGAAAGACCAATTTAAGGAAAAAATAAAGTATTATTCTTGAGTATCTCATTAAAGTCTCAACATGGACTTTTAATAGTCCGGAAGCTCTGCAGCAATAGCAGTTTTGTTTGCCTATTGAGGGGGAAAACATCTGGTTGAACAAAATGCTAGGTCCACTGCAAAGAGGGCGATCTCAAGCTAATTAGCAACATAAAGATTAAGGTCTGCCTGAACACTGACTTTTTAGTAGTTACTTCTTCCTTAAACAGTACCACCCTTCTTTGTTTTAACGAATTCCAATGATAAAATAGAGGCGGTACTGTGTGATATTCCTGAAGAGAGATTTACCAAATTTTAAATTCTTTAGCATAATTTGCTTTTTTAAAAAAAAAAAACCTGTCTTTCCATGCAGCGAACTCACTACATAGGATCACTCGTTTGTCCTAAGTTTGTGAAATGTGGGAGGAAGGAAGAAACCCAATGTGTTTGGTGGGGTTTTTATTTTATTTTCCACTCAGAAGCTACAGCTAGGACTTTGAAGTACTATCTGTACTTGAATATGAAGACAAAACTAGCAATTTAACTTTCTTATCTCGCAGTAGTTATATCATACTCTGAAAAAGTTCTGCTACTCTCTTTGTTTGAATAGGGTAGTGCAGATATTTCTTGCAAACCTACCCCTACAGCTGTCTACCAAGCTCCTGGTAGAGATGACTATTATCCATGTCCATATCGCCTGTTATTATAATACAAGTCCCTTTGGTACTGCCTCTCTTAAGACTTGTCTCAGTGCTACCATCCTATTTGCATGCAGTGCTTCTGAAGCAGTGAAACTAACCACTGATTTTTCACTGGATTTCCTGCCCTGAAATGCTGCACACTGGCTGCTAGAAACCACTGTAGCTCTGTCACATTGGAGTGGAGATGATACGCCAGAGTAGGGCTCCTGGACCAGAAGCTGTAACAAACCCAGTCTTTGCTGGAATAAATTACTAACTCAATGTCAAGCAACTGCTGTCATCTACCTGGACCTGTGCAAAGTAGCTGACACTGTCCTGCATGACATCCTTATCTATAAATTGGAGAGAGATGGGTTTGACAGATGGACCACTTGGAGAGCAGTGACAAGAGGCGTTCTTCAGGGGTTGGTGTTGGGACCAGCACTGTTTAACATCTTTGTCAGTGACACGGAGAGTGGGATGAAGCGCACCCTCAGCAAGTTCACTAACGACACCGAGCTGTGTGGTGCGGTGACACCCTGGAGGGAAGGGATGCCATCCAGAGGCACCTGGGCAGGCTGGAGAGGTGGGTCTGAGCAAAACTCATGGAGTTCAAGGCCAAGTGCAAGGTCCTGCACATGGGTCAGGGCAATCCCAAGCACAAACACAGGCTGGGAGATGAGTGGATGGAGAGCAGCCCTGCGGAGAAGGACTTGGGGGTGTTGGTGGATGGAAAACTGACTGTGAGCCAGCAATGTGCACTCACAGCCCAGAAAGCCAACTGTGTTCTGGGCTGCATCAAGAGCAGAGTGGCCAGCAGGTCGAGGGAGGGGATTCTGCCCCTCTACTCTGCTCTGGTGAGACCCCCCTGCAGTGCTGTGTCCAGCTGTGGGGCCCCCAACATCAGGACATGGACCTACTCAAGCGGGGACAGAGGATGCCACAATCAGGGGGCTGGAGCCATTGTGATAACAGGCTCAGAGAGTTGGGGTTGTTCAGCCTTAAGAAGGTGCCAGGGACACCTTATAGCGGCCTTCCAGTAGTTAAATGAGGCTAAAGGAAAAATGAGGAAGGACTCTTTGTCAGGGAGTATATGGATAGGATGAAGAATAACGGTTTTAACCAGAAAGAGGCTAGATGTAGGCTAGATATAAGGAAGAAATTCTTCACTGTGAAGGTGGGAAGGTGCTGGCACAGGGTGTCCAAAGAAACTGTGGCTGCCCGCTCCCTGGAAGGGTTCAAGGCCAGGCTGGACGGGGCTTTGAGCAACCTGGTCTGGTGGAAGGTGTCCCTGCCCATGGCAGGGGGGTTGGGACTAGATGATCTTTAAGATCCCTTCCAACCCAAACCGTTCTGTGATTCTATGTGCACAGGAATATAATCCAAATAGAAGTAAACACATTTTCTGAACAGAGTTTATTTACACAGAGACAATCAACCACTAGGGCTCCCAGCTCAATTTCCTTCTCTTGCCGAGTCTAAATTCAAACAACTGGAAGAAGCAAGTAAACCCTGATCTTATACCCCCATTATGGCATCCCAAGGTTAGTAATCAATCTTCAGACTTCCTGGAATATCTTCCATTCCTGTGCTCCAGGACAGCAACAAGCTGGCTGGTGCATGGGTAGCTCACACCAAGCCCTGTCCCTGTGCACGCAGAGGGCCTCCCCAAGGGCATTGGGGGATGCCTAAACAGGGGTGCCCTTGGGCTCCTCTGGAGCTGCTGCGCTCTGCATGTCCTCCCGGTAGCCCTTCAGGAGCTGGTTGATCAGTGTCTTCTCGTTGTTGCAGTTTGGGCGGATGAGCGGCGGGAGAGGATTCCCCTTGAACTCGATGACTGCCATCTTGGCGCGGTCAAGGCCGTCCCGGTTGGGGATCTGCAGCAGGCGGGTGTAGTTGCCGGAGTGGAGCTGGTACCGGGGTGCCAGCACCTTGAACAGCTTGTGGATGAGGTCCTTCTCCTGCGGGGTGGCACGTTCAGCTCCAGCACCGCGACTGAGGGGGCAAGGAGAGATTCGGGGGGGGGGGGGGGGGGGGAAGGTGTGGTGTGCGGTGCTTACCGTCACTTACCGTCAGCCAGAAATTTGCCATGTGCATGGCACGCTCGTTGGTGTCTCCCAGCTTGGCATAATCGATGAGCTGCGGGGGAGGAAGGAAGCAGAGCTGTTAGGATCTCACGACCCCGCCACTTTCCTCCCTTCCATCGCTCCCCCCGGCCCGGTCCCGGCCTCTCACCCGCTCGGCGTAGCCTTGCATCTCGTCGGCCCGCGCCCAGGGCGTCTCGATGCGCTCATGCCTCACCAGCGCCGTCACCAAGTTGCGCAGGAGGTCCAGACGCGAGCGCGGGCCCAGACCCAGCCGCCGGAAGACACGCCCATGCGAAATGGCGGCCGCCACCGACAGCCGCATCGCGCCACCCTCCCGCCGCCGCCGCCGCCGGGCACCGGTTGGAGGTGCCTCCCGGCAGCCCACGCGCGCCGCGCAGCACGCCGGGAATTGCACATGCGCACAGGAGCCGGAGCGCCCCTCCGGGCATCCCGGGCGCGGGGGAGCCGCGCGGCACGCCGGGAGCTGTAGTCCTCCCCCTCCGCCATGCCGGGAGTTCCGCGCTCCGCCGCGCCGGCTGCCGTCTCCCGCCGCGATGGGGCTTTATTCCGCCGCAGCCAGCCCGGCGGTGTGACAGCCCTGCTGCTGTCCCTGCGGCACCGGGGCGAGGCCGTGGCGGCGGCAGGCGAGGGCGGGCTCTGAGGGGAGGAAGGAGAGCAGCCGGCCTCCCCGCGGCCCCTCACCGCAGGCCGGGTGGGATGTGAGACACCGCCCTCGCAGGATGCTCCGGGGGCTGCGGGGAGGGGCTCAGCCCTGCCAGAGCCGTGGTTCTCATTCACTTTTTCCCCCCCAGTACCGGTGGCTGGATGCCAGAGGAGCCGCAGAACCCCACGTGGCGTCCGCAATCTGTTGCAGAAGCTGCGTGCCACAGCAGCGTCGAGCAGAGCTTCGTGGAGCCCTCACGGGGTGCAGGAGCCGCTGGTCTCATCATGCAGGTGGGTGTGTGCCTTATTTTCACAGGCAGAACCCTGTTCTGTAAGAGGCCGTGCCCCCATAGTACTCCTGGCAGTGCATGTAGTTCAGCTCCAAGAAAAATGCTAAAAGGCAGCTTAAAGAGGTTTCTTGCTGCTTGCTACTTCCAGCCAACATTTCTGTATTTCAGAGAAATGATGTGTAACAAAAGCAGTTACCAACAGCATAAGTAAGAAAAAATATCTTTGTTATTATGAATACATTATAAAATCACAATTTTATACACATTTTAGTATTTCATATATAAATAAAGTGAACAGTATAGCTATTGGAATGTGTAATACGTACAAACATACGGATTTTAATGTGAAATTAACAAATGCTTGGACCCCACCCCCATCTTTTGTTGCTTCTCTGAGGCTTAGCATATTACCTCTGAAATACTTCTAGGAAGAAGGCTATTCAAGCTGTGATGCCAACAATAACTCCAGGCATTACCTTAATTCAATTTACAGTCAATTTTCCTCTCATTTACCTAATTTAGCCTGACTATATAGGAATTCTTCTGTGTCAGTATTACAGTTTTGCAAGAAAGACTAATCCTGTATGTACTTGGCACAGTATTGGAAGAAAACATTTTCCAAGCTTTACAATTTTGTTAAACCCATTAACAATCAGCATTTTCCCATCACTACACACTCTTGCAAATGTTTCCGTTAAATACATTTCTAATATTAATAAAATAACAAACTCTTTATTACCATTCTGCTTATAACTTGATGTCTTAACATCAAAATAATATTTATTTCTAATAAAATTAAACATAGTATTTCTATGAAACAAAGTTGTCATGTGCATGAACCTAGTAATGAAACTAGGCATGAGTGTAGATGTTTCTACATTCTTATTTTGGATTCTTATTTTGGATTACATTCTTACTTTATATTGGACCAAGGAGCACTTTCCTTCACCTTTTTTTTATGGTGGAAGCACATCTGTTGGAAACCCAGCTTAAGCTGTGAAAAGCAATGATGTAGATTCCAGAAAGGGAAGTTACTGAGGTTTCCATTCAGAAAGGCATGTAAACACATGCCATATTTTATGTTTGTTGATCTGTAGGACAGCTTTCTGTACTAACAGTGAAGCATGGATTTTATCTATTTATCTGCTCCAGTCTCAGAATTTCCCTTCTCTGGTTACTGATGCGCAGCAGGGCAATTATCACTTACCCCTGAATTTGATGGTCAGACTGTGGAACTTCTCGTTCAGTATTTATATTTGGAAAGGCAGAGCTTGGAACTAGAGTAAGTGCTTTTTTTAGAACGCATCTTCTTGTGGGCAGAGGGCAGTAGGATTTAGTTGGTATGTAGGAAGTGAGTCATCTAACTCTATTCAGTATCTGATGGTCAAAACCCCCTGCAGCTACTAATTCTATAGTGGGAATTAACCTGATCCAGCAGGTGATGAGGTGTGGTAGTAAACATATGCAAGAGTTACATAATTTGCAAGAGTTACAAATATAACATTTAAAATGTAACAAATTGCTTAAAATTGCATATTCATGAATGATGTTATTTATACGTAGTTGTCTGGTTGAAATTAAGAGAATGAAACATAAATGCCTCAGTTCGTGCTGTCTTAGAGGTTGCTTTCAGGCTGCTGCATATAAGACCATCCCTTTTGTGGCTACAAGTTCCTTCCCCAAGTCTCACTAATTTCCTTATTACCTGGTTCACAAGACTACTTGGATCTGCAGCTGATGGCAGAACTCCTTCCAGAGGAGAAGCCCAAAGACCACAGGGTAAGAGCGCTATCATTTTTTCCAAGCTATCCCCATGACTTAGTCATTGCTTTGTAAATATTGATATACATATAACATGAAGGGGAATACAGAACATTAATATTCTTAAAGCTAATGCCCTTGCTTGTGGCATAGTGATAGCGAGGAATTGCGAAGCAATTACAGGAATGAACACAACCTCTTAAGATAGTACACAAAAGATATGAAAGATCTAGACAGCCAGTGGTTTGTACATGATGTGTACTGGTGGTGTAGGGATTACACCAACTATCTTTTGAACCAGTGAATATGAAAGGGAACCCAAACCTTTATGGGTTATATGAAAAGGGCCTGCTTATATTTTTACCTATATTTATTCTATTAGAACATGCAAGCCCTGATAAACATGGCAAACCGAGAAGTTTTTCTTTGCATTTGTAACATGGACATGACCCAGCACTAAACATAAGTAGCAGCTACACAAATACAACATTGAAGTTTTGTGCTTAATATACTTCTTTATCTTCTAAGCATTGCAAAATCCTCAGCAGCTGTGGTAATCCAAAAGAAATGGTAACATAGATCATCCATGAGGTATGGTCTAACTTGTGCATCCAATTTTCCAGTGTAAAAAAAGGGCACGCCCTTTCATCCCTCCTCACAAATACAGGACCCCATGCGCAGTACCTCACCTTAGCCATCCTCGTACCAGTTGAAATGTTTTGTCATGTGCACTCTTGCACCTACTCATACTCCTCATATACCCAGCCAAATACACTGCAACTCTATGTTCCAGTTCTGTGAATTCCATTTAGGTTGTTCTCATGCAGCAGAGGAACAAAACAGATGGGAGCTCTTTGCAAACACGAGGCCTTTCTCTGGTCTCGATTTCACTTGGACTTGAGCATTTCACCAAGGAAGACATGCACCTACAGGAGGTCAGAATCCAACTCTTTCTGCAAGACTGGGATTGATTTTGTGCCTGCCAGTAAGCCTACTTGATTCACTTATGATTGGTTTTCCTGCTTTATATATCCCCTATTTTTCTTGCTCATCTTTGTGTAATGTATCCGTCATGAATCTGTGGAGGAAGGGAACTAGCCTTCACACTGAGCAGTGGGAGAATGGTAAGGGAAAAGTAGTTTTAGTTTAGGACAAATGCACCTTTTCAACTGTCTTTGAACAATACTCTAGAAACACAAAACCAAATAATTTCCAGATCAAGAAGCAGTGCCATTGTATCACTGCTTAACCATATGTTTTTTGCCTTCTTCTGCCATGGTGGGGCATAATAGAAGGAGACATTTCACGTACAGCTGGCCTCTGCTGTGAAACAGGAATCCAATTTTCATGCTCTCCTAAGTGTGAGGACAGTAGCTGGAGACTTGAATTCAGTGGTACAATATATTTACATGTATAAACTGTGGACCAGTTGTTATTGACATCATTCAGGGATGATGTTCAGCTACCCCTCCTATCCCTGGAAAAATTTGGGTACTGAGTTGTTTGGACACAGAATGCAAGGTAGATGAAATTCTCTGGTCTGTGCCATTAGCTAGAGCATGCCTTAATCATATACTAAGAAGTTTTTCTTGATAGTCCAGGTACAATGCACAGTGCAGGCTTGACGGTATGGAATTACTGCAAAGAGGGTACTGTGAACCAGGAAAGCTACAGTACAGGCAGCATGGTTGGGGAAAAGCAGAGAGAAAACTGGGAAATTATATATATTTTACATTGTCAGTGCATTTTTATATTGAAGAACTCTAAAAGGGCTCTATTTTTCAGTAGGCGTAGCTAAGGGTGGGCTGCCTTCTGTATCCTGGAGTCCCTGGGTGCTGTCCTTGGTTTGTAGTCTTCTCCAGATCCAAAATCTACCGTGTCATGGTAGTTCGTAAATTCCTGAGGTAATGGAAACTCCTCTGTTGATGAATGAGTCCTGTGGCCAAACACTTTCTCTTGCAGCTCAGCGATGTCATTTCTGATGTCTGCCATCATCAGCAACAGGAAATCAAATGAACCTGGTGGGCCCTGCAGTCACAAGGCACAGTCATTAATGAAAATCCACTTCACTCCTACAGTTTTCAGACAGGTTGATATAATTACTCTTGAAGGGGTAACTCAGTAAAATACTGCTTCATATCAGTTGCCAAAGGTTAATGGTCTGTTTTGCAATCGACTTGCTCTGGAAACAATATTCAAAAGAAGCCAAATGTTTTTGCAGACAGAGCCTATATTTACAAGATGCTCAGCCCTTTTGTTACTTAACATTTCTTTTGCTATATCTGCCTCCTGAGAGTATATTGACACCTTATGGGAACAGAGGAGATAACTCTTGGTTCCCTATGTTCCTTTTTATTAAACTGATAGAAATTACATTCTTAGAATGACTAATAAGTCAGTAATTATTATATATATATTTATTTTTCTCAAGAATGCTGTGATTTGGAAGGTATCTTTTCAATACAGTGACCTTGCTGCTGTCCATCATTTTCTAAATATATTGGTAATTACAATGCAGAGAATATCCATCTGGTTTTAGCTGATTTTAGAAAATCATAATTTCTTTTTATCTGACTTTACATAGTGAAGTACATAGTTTAATACTGAGGACACCCTGCTGGTCACACTCTTAAAAATCCATTCCACCAATGACAAAACACCATAAGAAACAGATTTTTAAACAATTTCACCTGAAAAGAGATTGTAAATACTCATCCTCCTGATGACTTGCTAAAAGCCTATAGCTTCCCAAACCCCAGAGAGATACTACGGGCAGGATTTTGAAAGGTTCCAGGGATCATACTCCCACTAGGAGTGGTGGCTGAACTGTACTAACTAGCAGCATGAGATCCCGTGCAGAGTGCTGCCTTCTGAGGATGTCCCACTGCTGTTGTAGCGCAGAGGTACACTTACTGCCTTTTGTGTCACACCCAGCAAGGGAAGAGATGTGTAAGCAAAAACACTTGGATGAAAACAGGTAGTTACTTTATTTCCAGTAACGTTTTATGTGCATGTAAAGTATCTCTCACTGTCCTCTTGACTTTTGGCTGACCTGTTGTCAGTAGTCAACATCACTCTTGTGGAAATTCCTCCTGTGAGCAATACTTACAGGTATCCCCTTTGGTCCTGGTGCGCCTCGCTCCCCCTGTAATCAATACCACCTCAATTAGTTTGCTGTGACTAGAGGAAACAAAAAAAAGCAGTTTGCTTCTGCAGACTCCCTTACTTACTGTAACCAGATCAAGAATCATCAGCTTATGCTCACTCAGAAAAAGAACAGAAAGTGAAGGAAGAACTCAAGAAAATTGCTGATTGTAGTGGGAGCAGAGTTGTGCACTTCAGGTATTTCTCCTGTTAAATGGCGTTCTTGTTACCATCTAGAAGTTCACAAAAGAGCAGTCTAATGAAATGGGCAAAAGCATCTACATTTATTCATGGAAAAGCCGAAAGAGATGCAGAGAAAGGAAAGGAGCTTCCTCGACAGATAGCCTATTTGCAAGACTTACAGAATGGCAAACACAAAATAGCAGAAGGAAGTCATGAAGGGATGGGACAACAGGACGTTTTCATCTTAGTAAAGGGTGTGACTACAAGTGTGTAGAGGGTCTCTTTATCAAGCCTGCACTTCACATGTGCATGTGCCAAAGTTACGGAAAACAGTACCTCTCCTCACCTTGCTACCATCTCTCCCTGGGGCTCCTGGTGGGCCCTGCAAGAGAAAAGCAAGTGTTCACAAGGAGGTGAGAAGTTGTGGAGCTAAGGCCAATTGTGCAGTGCATGATGGGAGACGAAAATACTGACCACGGGGCCCCGTCTGCCCTGCTTAATATGTGATATGTCTGGAGATGGCCCCATAGGTCCCATTGATCCACGAGGGCCTGGCTGTCCGGGAGGTCCAGGTGACCCAGGAACTCCTTGACTCCCTTTTGGTCCAGGAGCCCCTGCAATCGACAGCAAAGGTTACCTGCCAGGGAAAGTCTTCAGGACACTTCATCAATGCAAGCGATGGGGACTGACCGGTTTTTGAACCACCCGATGGACTTGTTGCCTTAGCACACACAAATCCACAACAACACAACCAACACATCAGCCATCTGAGACATTACTCCTTGTCGCAGTAGCCACAAGAGATGTTCACAAAACAGTTAAACTTTGAGTAGACAAAGACGACAAGACTGCCACTGCCAGGTGGTTAGGGACACAGACTGGGAATGAAAAGAAAAGCATAAATGCCTCACTTTCCCACGAAGAAGAAAAGACAAGTCACATTTGAGGAACACCTCAGAAAACTCGTGGGAATTTGGGGTTGAAGGCATCTACATGACTGGGATAGAAGCAAACCCGTTTTAGTGGTAGGCTACACCTCTCTTTTACCCAGTACGGTAGCCAATGCCTTAGGGGCAAAAAGGCTCTGTTCTTGCATTTTGCTTTATAGCCTTTTCTGCTTTTGTTGGCTCAGCAGAGAATGTTAGTTTTTAGCAAGCACAGAGGCAACAAAGCATATGTTTAGCTCAAGAGAAACACTACGGAACGTAAGATAGAAAATCGGGCACCTGAAACAACATTTGCACAAAATGAAGACCATTAAAGTGTCACTAGCTGAATTGCTTTCTAATCAGAGGGGAAAGCACTTTTCTTCATACAGAAAACATGTGAAAGTCATGGAAAGTGAAAGGAAGAGAGTAAAAAAGGTTCAGCGGGACAGAATATGTACAGTTAGGATTTTCAAAAGGAGTAAAATCGAGCTCAGTGATGAAACTCTTGGACTCCTGAAGACCCAGCTGCACTGTTGCTAACGGCAGGGCAGGGGAGGAGGTGAGCAGGGTTGGATTTCAAGAGGAACAGATAATTTTGCAGTACCTTGGACAGCTCAGCCAGAGGGAAACCAGACGGGAGACCTGCAGAGCCAGGCCTACGTTAGAGAGATTGCAAGGCGACGCACTGTACAGTTCAGAGTCTGACGCAGAATCTCTAACCATATTGTCCTTGCACTTACGATATACTGAAGACTGAAGATACTCATCCTCCAAGAAAATAAGACTCAAAAACCAAAGCAAGACTGCAGAAGTGGGGATAAGTGAGGGCGCAGTTCAGTAGGAGGTGAATCAAACCTCGTAAGGAATATCTGCTAGTCATTTGTAAGAATATTCCTGAAACCCAGAACAGTGCTAAATTTCCTTGGATTTATGGCTAACCCCAAGTTTGATCTGTATTCAACAGAGTTTGCAAAATTTTTAGCATCACTGGCTGCCAGTTGCAAGGTGTCTGGCTTAAGTCAGAGTTTTAGGAACTCTGCTTTTCTCATTGTTTCAAGCTATACCTTAACGAAGGTGTGAGTGGAGTTTTACTTTTCAGATTCCTTTGAATCTGGAACACAACATAAAACTAACAAATTAATCCTTGCAAAAGCAGATGAGGACAAATAAAACTGTTGGCACACACCGCTGCAAACTGAAAGCACATTTTCTGCTCTACTAATGACAGTGAGCCAAAGCAACAGGTATTCCTGAAATGAAATGGAAAGTATTTTAAGGCAGAGTTATAATACAGGAAATGACAACTGAAGCAGGTGAGATATCCCAGGGAGAGGGAGAAATGTAATACATAGAGGACAAATACAGCTGGCATGCCAAGAAACAGATGGAGGCTAAGACACAATGGATGATGTTGACAGTTGGCAGAGGCTGACCATAATGACCAGAAAGTTTTTCTTTCTAAATTTACCACAAATGCAAATATAACAATCAAAATATGAAAGACACGGAATCCTATCACACTGAAAGACTGAATCTTACTATTTTTATTCATAACACTAATTCACATCCCTCTTGTCCATATCTTACCTGGAGGGCCTTGTTGGCCAGGCTGGCCTGGGGGTCCAGGGATATACGCGTTAGATGCAAGCACTTTTTCACCAGTGATTTGCTTGCTAAGATCAGCAGCATTATTTGGTAGCAAAGCAACCTGCCAAAACCAAAAAAATCACCGTAAGCCCTTCATCATTCAGCTGGATAAATTACATTCTTGGTTAAGCTTTCATATGGACAAACAGTGTATTTAAATACTTCAGGAAAATAGAAAATGTTCAACAATATCCTTCATTGAAATAATCAGAAAAAAAGTTACTGTGTGAGGTGGTTTACTTTCCAGGTCACTGTGGAAATACTGCAAGTCTATCCAAATGGGGGGCAGGAGAAATTAAAGAGAGATACAGCAAGAAGTTGTCAAAAACTTAAGTCTCATAACTGCTTGGATCTTCTTAAGAAACCTATTTTCCTTATCTGAACATTTCTCTATTAATTTACTGCCCTTTTTCAGGGCAACATTTGCTCAGATATTTAAGTTCTCAATTGCTGTACAAGCCACTAACTTTTTATAGGTTTCAATGAGATCCCCAAATCCTTTGTGGATTTGGCCCTGTAACCATACTATTTAACCCAATAAAAGTCTGGATCTGCTCTGCTTAAAGACTCAAAGCTAAAGTATGTGAGAATGTAAGGAGAATTGCGCACTATAGCTTAAAATGCCGTTATCCATTATGTCAGATGTTTAGTTATCCATGAAATATTAATCTGCCCAGATTGAATATATTTAATAATTAAACATATTTAGAAATATTCTGCAAATGTTTAGTCTCTCCAGAGGCAACTGAAGGGAGATGACAAGCCTGGAGGCTGCTCTGCAGTGAGGAAAAAAGTTTTTTTATGGAGAGTAGCTGCATTAAGTTGGGAATTTTACTCTGCCAGATGGAACTGAAGAGCTATTTCAGCAATACCAGGGCAGACCTATGCCTGCGTCAGCTTTGTTGCTCCCTAAATAAATTTGGCTTACTGGATAATTTGATGCTGGATTCTGCAACATTAGTGTGGGAGAGTTGCATTAAATAAAATACATGATGACTCCTGGTATCTGACAATGCTTTTAATTAGCTATTTGGAATTCCCTGTACTGGGCTGTTCTCAAGACTCGTACTTGTTTCTGTAATTATTTGATGTACAGCCTCCTTCCCTTAGTGCAAACCTAATGTTTGTAATGCAGAATAAAAAATAATGCTAAGCACTTGCAGTACATACTATATCTGGGCAAACTTATTTTGGCAAACAAGTTATTACTTAAGGAATACACTTCAAGGGCAGCCAGTGCTGTTTGTGGTTGGATGCACAGAAGAGTTCTGAAGGAAGCAAAAGTGAGGAAAAAAAATGTTAGAAATGCTGAGTGGCATTTCCGAAACAGCAGTTTGATTTTTCAGACTGTAATTCAAAATATGATGACAGGAATACAAGGATTTATCAGCCATTTGTGACTCAGGTTTTGGAGAGCATTGCGGTTCCAAAGACAAGATGACTGCACTAATTCAAATTAAGCGACATGATGTAAGCCTTGGAAGAATTTGGTAGATTCGCTCCACCCCCATGGAATACAGTGACTGGATGAGGTCAGCACTTCACAGAAGCCCCACAGGATGCTTCTTAAGTGCTTACTCCTATGAATCTGCACACATAGAAAATGGGGATCCAGTACACCTACTGCTCTGGGGTGGGCTGTCGTCTTTGGTTTGGTTTCCAAAGAAAAACTTCTTTGTTTGCCAATGACCTTGCAGCTTTCTCAGCCAACATGCCAGCCATTGCAGCACAGCACAAATCATGGGACTGCTGAAGATAAAGGGCTACTCCATGGGTCACAGCACCTTGCACCTCCGGCAGAAGAGGAAAATTCAGTAGCTGGGGGCTCCCTTGGTCACACTGGCCTGGCACCAGCACAGGGAGGTCCACTGGCCGGGTCTGGTCTGCACACTGCAATGTTTTGCTTCCCAGAGGTGCATCCACGCTGACCAGAGCGTGGTTCTGGCTGGATATGAATGGAAAGTTGCAAGGACCATCACACTGCAAAAATTCCACTACGTGACACAAATTAACCAAGGGCTCTGCAGTGCCAGCGCTGCCATGCTAAAACTGAGACATGGAGTTAAATCCTGTGACTACCTGAAAGCATTATATTTTTCAGGCAGTTTTTGTGAGAATATTTTCAGTGTCATCAGTGTTTCTCCTTAGGGGTGGCCACAGTTGAAAGATAGATTAATTGATGTCCTCTTTAGAGCTTTTACTTAAATTTCTGACCAGATCCTATTTTGGGGATCTATTGCTATCCCAGCTGATAAATAAAATTAATTTAGTATATAGGCCCTGCCATGAATACTCTTCAGATTATTTTGCAAATGACCAGGCTGGAATAGAAAGGTACATTTAGGGATGAAGACTTCTCATGAAGAGGATTTGGAAGTGTATTCTTTTCTGTTGCTTAAATATTGACTTGTTCCTGCCAGCAAGACTGTTGTAGCAACTTAGTAAGTTTTAAAAAAAAATCACATAGCTGCTGTGAAAGCATCTACACATGCTTCCCCACTGAGTCAGCTGAACTTGAGGCATATACTAGCAGTGCCAAAATACCCAGGCTCTGGTCTAGCTCACTGCTCTTTGATATCTTCTGGCCAGAAAATGGTTCTTACATACACTGAGGCCAAACCATGTGTTTTTGATGTTGACTCACATCCTCTTAGGGATTGGCTATACTCACTGGCCTAATTACTATTTCACCTTTTAACTGAAACAGGATCCTGGTCCGGGGTGACCTTGGCTTTCTCCATCCCCAGCTCCAAATCTTAATGGCCCTTGGAAAATTTTTTTTTCTTTTTTTTATATATGCATGCAAATATTAGCAAGGGGAAATTTTAAAGCAAGAGGACTAGAAACAAGACTCCCCTGTGCTGTGTGCATGCAGCATCTGGAGTTTTGGGTAGTTTCTAGGAGAGGGGTGGTTTAGATGACTTTGACAGTGCTTGACAGGAGTGATGTGGGACATGGCTTTCTAATTAACGTTTAAACATATCTCTGCAATAGGATCCAGCTTTTTTTTTTTTTTTTTTTTTTAATTGTTGGCAGTCTGTCAGCATGTTGGATACCTTTTCCCCAGTTTTTCAGCTTTCTATTCTTCCTTCTGGCAAGGTCTGACATAAACCTAGGACTGCCCGCAACCCCCTAGTATATCAGGAGAGTGCATCCTTCTGGATGAGCATGCAAGGTGACTTTCTGTTCCTGATTCTAGAACTACTCTGTCCTGGTAGCTGTTGTAATTCTCCAAAAAGGTGTTGGTGCCATCACCAGAAGTAGCAGGACTTGAGTTCACCCCTGTCCTTTCCTAGGGAGAGACAAAACCTCATCTCCCACTTCCAGAAGCATACCCCAGTTCCCAGTTGTAGGGTTTACTGCATTAAATACTTCACAAGCTCTTCTGCTAAACATAATTTTGCATAAGGTTCATAAAATCTGAAAGCCTTAACCACAAGACTGAAGACTCATTCCCATAAACTGTCTCTCTGGCAGAAAGAAATTCATTTTTCTGTGCAAAACAGAACAGCTTCAACCACAGATATTGAGATGTCATCCCCAGAAAAATTTGGCCATGGAGAGTGGCTGGTGAAACAGGAGGGTTCATGTCTCCCTGGGAAGAGAAGCAGCATGAGACCAGATTTCCTCTCAGCATGGATGAAAGCTCCCTTCTCTGTGGGGTAAAAAATGCTGAGGGTATCAAGGGACCATCTCTTCCAGCTCTGTCTGTGTGAGGCACAACCCAGTGAGCTCCCTCTGAAGATATCAGATGGATCAAGTTCCACTAGGAAGATACTTGAGGTAAATGTAGGCTATGGACCATGACAGGACTTAGCAATGAGGCAAGAGTTTGGCCACAGCTACTGTACAAGTGGCCACAGTGACAGGTATCAATAATCTTAATTTTCCAGGAGTGAGTTTTGAACAGAGGAACCTAGCAGTGGAAGTTGGACATAGAAAACTTTCCATTAATTCAGACCATTGCTTTCTGTCAATTCTTGCAGCAAACGACTTGGCCAACAGTGTGACCCTAGATCCCTCCCTGGAGGTCAGTGTGAGCCTGCTCAGCATCATGGATGGCGGCAGGACAAACAGACACTCAAAAGCATGGATCCTTTTTCAACCTGTCTGCTACCATTTGTTTGAAAAACAGAATTTCCATCACACATGAAATTTGGTCACTTCCATGTTTGTCTTTATGCTGATTCAGAAGGAAAACATGACATTTTGAGAATTTTGAAATAAAAAGTATCTCTAACCTCAGTGTATTTTGTTTTAGTGAAGCAGTTTTCTTTTTTTCCTAATATAAATTACATTGAATGAATAATATTAAATGCAACAAGTGAGTACACCAAATTGTGTTTTGACACAATTATATTAAATGAACATCCTGGGTGAAATAATTAAAGCCTGTCGACATGAACTGCTCAGAATATTCCTGCAGAACATTTCAATTTGAGAGAACCTGAATGTTCAAAGGAGACGACACCAGAAAAGGTATTACACCTGCATCCCTGCGCTCAGGTCTCCGCATTCTAGGCTGGGTCTCTGCGTTGTTTCAACCCTACTTGATTGCAAAAGGAGGCCACATACAACAATTAAAGGCCAGGGGAAGCTTTTAAGTGCATTATTCTTTACTTATAAGGACACATAAAAACAAAAAAGGTTGCAGCTGAGGGTTTTTATTAAAAAAAAAAAAAAAATCAAACCCAGTGATGTTTTTATTTAGCTACACACCTCCTATTTGGCAAGAATCCTGCATCAGCACCCTATTAAAACAAAATCATGTTCTCCCATGTTCCCGCATCTGCAGAATATCTTGCACTTGCTTATACTAAAGGTGGATCAAGTCCAAAATCCTGTGCATTCAGAATGAATGAAAAGCTGAGGCCAACACAGATTGCCAAGAAACCTGGGCTCAGACTGAGATGGGTGTTTGCCAGACTCTGTTACCATGAGCTTGGTAACTCAGTTCCGCGAGCTTGGTTAGCAGTCTGCTTACAAGCAATACAGAAGCATAAGGAAGAGATGCCATTCCTACATGATTTTAAAATATGTTGCCATCATCTTTATGGGCACAAGAGTCACATGGAAGTGACAGCTCCAAACAATTAAATTTAACCTCAGTTGTCATAAAGCATGGAGGTCTGGTAAGACACGGCTGATCAGTGTTCATACCTTTTGCTTCAGTTGTAAAACTGTCTGCTTTATTTGATGGAATTCCTTACAAGAGGCACAGCATGTCCCCAGTTTTGCCACATTTTCAGATTTCTCGGGAAGCCCAGCTGAAAGAAAGCAGTTTCCAATACAAATATAAAGAGCCAAAGGAAAGAAATTAATAAAGTGATTGCAAAAGTAACTTAAAGGTTGTTACATTTCCCCAGATTGTGAAAAGAGGATAGAATCTTGCCATTATTAATGCTTTGACTGTGAATTACTACGTAAGGCTGACAAACTTTGCAGAGACAGCTCTGAGCTCATTTTTAAAGCAGCTGTTTCCAGTTAACAGTCCCCACAGAATTTATTTTATTTTTAATACCTGGAAAAGTTTACGCCCCTTCTTTTATCTTTGTGTTTAGGGCAGGCTAACACTATAGATCTGAACTTATTTGCAGTCCCCCAAAAGGCAAATTTTCATATGCTCTAAATAACAGTAAAATCCCTCACAATACGGTCATTTCATTCACTTTTCACATGCTGCTCTTTATCATTGCTGGTTATTCCTCCATGCAATGGAATCAGCCTGAGCAAAACGGGGGTTGAGATTAATGACAGGGATTTAAATCCACGCAAAAGAAAGGGTCACACATGTTGATACTATGCATGAATGGAATCTTTTCAAGAATCCATTAAATTATTCAAACTGTAACAGATATCGCAAATGTTATTTTTGTCCTTTTCCCAGTTCCATACACAGTGAAGCATTTCTGCATCACAAACAAACAAACATTGTTTTAGCCGTTGTCCACTTAAAGAGAAATGTGGTTTCCAAAACACATGGTGACACATACTGACAAACTCTAGGTGAGCTTTTTTCTTCCACATACAGTTGTTAAGAAGCATCAAGTGTATTGAGGTTCTGCGAACTATGTGTGGCCTTGAACAATGTTACCTGGAAGGGTCATTGGACGTGTTTTGAACACTGATCTTTCAGAGTATGTCCTGTAATGGAAAAACTCTGCAGGTACTCCTGTTGGTTAAAGCCAGAAAATCTTCAAAATCTTCAAAAAGGACCAGCTACAATATACTTGGGTATTGTGTTATACTTCTCACTTGGATGCACGCTTTAAGGTCCTTCATATTTTCAGAAAAGTTTATTGATTTTCACAACATCTGCATGATTTTAAATAAAACCAGAAGTTTCTAATACTAAAGATATTATGTGGTACTTGACTTTAAATGTTTGCAGGGTCCAATAAGGAATACTGCATCTATCAGACGGTCATCTGTGGACCACCAATGCAGAAATTTAGGAGAAGCTGATTTATAGTGTGTTTAGTCCATTGGATGCAATGGCATGTCAGGTATGTTTGCGTTTAGAAGACAAAGATTTATTCCTCTTATCAACTAATCAAGTAGGGAAGGTCTGTAAAGACATGCTGCTGGAATGACCAGCAGCATTAAGACTAGTATTAGCACTGAACTGATCAGAAGATTAGGAAGCAAAGGCTTGGGGGCTTTCCCCCCTCATCAACTGCCTGCTCCCACAGCTGCCATCCAGTGGCATTACAATAATACACAATTTCTTATAATTATATAATATTATATATAATAAGCTGGTCTAGTGGAAGGTGTCCCTGCCTTTGGCAGAGGGGTTGAAACTACATGATCTTGAAGGTCCCTTCCGACCCAAAACATTCTGTGATTTATTTAACATTTTTATGGCAGTGAGCACACTGCTGTTTGAGCTTCCCAGCCCTTCCTGATAGCACACAGCTTGTTAGTAACCAAACAGCTTTCTGTACAGTGTTCAGGTGGCTCAAAGATTTAAGGCCAAAATGTACTACTTGGGGTTTTCCAATTAATATTACATAACTTATAAGAGAATTTCACCAAATCGCATCTATGCTGGCACCAAGACTATGTGGCCATAACACCTTCCAGAAGGACTCCAGCCTTTGTGTGAAGATAACTGAACGCACAACATCCACCGGTTTCCTTCCTCACTGCTGTATTTCTAATGCTGTTCATTTTGCCTTTGGCTGTTTGCAAAACCACTTTGCCCATAAGCTTTTCTCTGACAGATTAAAGAATCTGCACCTTGCAGGGTTTTTTCCCCTTAACAAGGAATTTATATGCTATAATCAAGACACCTGTTGATATTTCTATAAGGTAAATTTTCTCTTGACCACAAGTCAGTATTGTGGCTCCCTCATGGAGTTCTTCCTCCCTCTCCAATTTTTATTCCTTTAAAAAAAAACAGTGTTTTGACATGTCTGGTTTTGGACCTGGGTATGATTTACAAATGCACATATATAAAGCCATTAGAAAAAAATGCCTTATTTTCTTTCAAACTTGAATAGAGTTTGTGTTTGGTACTAGTCTTAACCAAAATTTCTTTTAATAGCTATCTTACCAAATGGATTCCCTCATATTGTGTTGAGAAATCCTGCTGAAAGCAACATACAGCCATAAGGAGAAACTGCCAGAGACTCTGCTATTTGAAACCTAATGCAATCCCACTAGAATCAGTGGAATTATGTGCAGATTAAGAAGCAGTGAATTTGGCCTCATGTTTCATTATAAAATCCAGTTTATCTTCCAGAAGGATGTGGCACACGGGGCTGACAAGTATAGATAAAAAAGGGCTGTAACAGTCCATGGAGATGAATGCCAGGGGGGTCAGTTAATGTTTGGGAAATATCATACCAGTGAGATTTCTGCAAATCCAGTTGGATTGACTCGTCAGAGGAAGAAGTCCAACAGTGTCATACAAGCAAGCATGAGCTGTGTCCCGGGAGAGAGGTGGAATCCCCCTAACTCAGACCAGACAGAGGTGATGATTTGCCCAGGGAAGGAGTCATCCATCAAACATTTACTCTACCCCCCTCCGATCCTGTATCAGGACCAAACTATAAATAAAGCCAGAATAAAGCATGGATGAAGCCAGAAGCTACCTAGGACATGCCAGAGGGGGCAGGAAGCAATTAGACAGAGCCACCCACGCGTGGTGCAGAAACAGAGGTCACCTACCAGTGTCAGTTTTGCCAGCACTGAGCGAGGCACTTATATAGCCCGCTTCCATTGCACAGACCTGCACCAGAAAACTAAAACTATTTCAGAGAAGGCTTAAACCAGCCCCGTTTTATGAAGGCTTTCCAAAGCACAAAGTCCAGCTCACGCATGATGTTGCTGTCCTGACGGGGGTCCTTTCATCTCAGTCAGACACCGGTGAGCCCCGTGGCGCCTATCGATAAGAGATGTGCTCGGGGGAGTGATGTGTTTTCTTTGCCTGTGCTTGAGGACTCTGTCTTGCTGATGCTGGAAGAGAAGGAGATGCTGGCGGGGGAGAGCTCTGCAGGGAGCTGTGCCGCGGGCGGTCTTTGCATGGAGACTGTTGAGTTGATCATCTGTGTTGTATTATCTGGGCTCAGTCTGCTGAGATGGTTTCATTTGCCTACTTCTGCACGAGTAGCTGCATTGTCTCCCTCAAATGCAACATGACTGTGAATGTGGGAAAAATGCTCCCTATTCTTGTGCTCACTAGCAAACCCAAAGCCCTCGGTCAAGACCACTTACAGAGCCAAAAATGTGCTCGGATCGCAGCCTTCAGGCACAGGATGATGAAAACGTGAATACTATCTCCTGGGAAACGTGCAACATGGTTAGATCTGGAGAGGGATACATGTGTTTTCATGTATCTCACACTAAATTTTAAAATAAAATATAAGTGTCCCAGATACCATGAAAAGCAAATAATCTATTTATTCGGAAGTCATTCCTGTGCAGATGTGGTACTTTCCAGCATGGTGCAGGGCTGGGGCTGACCACGGGGTGGTGCGTCGCTACAACCGGTTCATCACAGCTGCTGAAAATCTTGATTTTCTTTGGGATGAGTTACAGACACAATCCCTGTGAAATAGTGACGGCCAACTCCTCTTTCATTTGCACCAGTGATCTGGCAATTAGTAACATTAACTTAGAGCACAGTGGGGTAACAGAGCAGAAATTGTCCTTCTCTGCTTTGCACAGCTGATTTGGGAAATGTCTTGAGAGATGGTGGGTATTTTATTGCAGATTAACTACTGGAACAAACACTTTTATGTGCCATGTACTTTCAGTGTAAAATCGGTGTTTTTCAAATATTAGAATTGTTTCCACAGCCTTGAATATTTTGAATGGTTAGTTATCCTGAATGCTTTGGACATTACTCTGTCAGGAAATTTGAACTAGCCAGAGGAAAAGTTAACTAAAAAACCCCCTATTTGCAAGGGGATTATATCTCTTTCCATCATGACACACCACCCTCCTCACTTATAAGGGAAGAAAAAACATCTGAAAACTACAAGGAATAATTAAAATTAGTGGAGTGGCTCTAGTTACACATTTTCAGAGGAAAATCAAAATTATAAATTGCTTTGGTCATCCGGAGAGATTTGCAGCACCCAATGATACATGGGTTCAAGCATTAATTGATGAACCTATGGTAAGTCACCATTCATCAAAAGTGTTGTTTTGTTTTTTTTTTTTCCCCAGAGCACAGGTTGTTCTCTTCCTCCTTTCTTTTTAAATTGTCACTATTTAACGTAAAGTACTCTAAATGCTGTAATTTAATAACTAGGATAAAGTCAAAAACTTTAAAATCATTTATACACAACACACATAAATACGAAATACTTTGCAACCAACAGTGAAAAGCAAGAACAAGCCCTCACTTTTACCCCTTTCCCATCACATATAAAAAGAAAAAAAATCTCACCACGGTCACGAGACACACAAACTAATTGCAGGTCAGCAGAATTCAGTGTTACTCAGTGTAATTTAGCAATTCATTTAAGAAATGCTTGAAAAGCATGTGAAGTTCCCAGGCACACCTTTTCTGAGCCTCCAAGTGCCCAGAGGCAATAACCACCCAGCCCAGGGCCATTGCTAATCTCAGATGTAGGCCTGTAAATACAAATTAATGTTACTGAAATTAATGTAATTAACAGATGAAATTAATGAAAGCTTATAATGGTCAGCATCTGGCAATTTTTTTTCCCTGCGTCTCTTGAGCTCTGGACCACAAACTTCAGGTTGGACATGGGGGCAAAATATGGCTTTTAGCAGCTGAATTCAGCAGAAACGGTGTAACTGAAGCTGTAACGTCAAGTTTCACTGTTCAGCCCCTCTGCTGCTCCAGGGGAAGATGCTTTCCACATCCTTCAATGTACTTGTGCTTTCTTTATAGATGCGACCGCTGATTTACGGCTGCATGTGTGCAGCTCATAAACCGGGGAGGGGGGGAGCGTGCGGCACGGCTGCTCCACAAGCACGCGGGTGCCCACGGAGCAGCCGGGCTCTCCAGGAGCTCCAGCTACATCCCAGCTTTGGAGCATCCTCTTTACAACAGACCAACCTTTTAGATGGCCCTTTGGCCCAGGGCCTTTAAACCCCTACTAGCATATACCTTTATCTCCTTTGGTGCACGTCTTGCCGTCCTCCTCCCGGGTATAGCCTTCGTGACACTCGCACCTGTAGCTGCCCACGGTGTTGACACAGATCTGAGAGCACAGCGTCCCATTGCTCGTGGCACACTCGTCGATATCTGGGGAGAAGGAAGACTTCAAAATGTCCTAAAGCTGGAGGTTTCAGACCTCAAATACAATCAAAGACTTCTTTTAAAAGTATCAGGAGATTTTGTGGTTAAATAAATGAGTAATTGAAGCACCGTTGGTGCTTTGGGTCAGAGCTCTGTGCAAAATGCACTATTATTATTAGCACACCTGGCATTTTAGCAGAGAACATTGCTTGACCATTTTTTTGGCATTGAAAAGATCACAAGCAAAGCTCAATGCTGCAAATCTTGTCTCCCTGGCACAGCAAAACACACAGGGCAGGGAGGGACTAGCCACACAAGGACCACATGTAAATGATCAGTCCTGAATTAGACGTTGGCCATCTGAATCAAACCCCAAGAATTTATTTTCATAATTAGGCTGGATTATAGTGCTTTGAGGGTTACTGTTAGAATCGTGTCCTTTGTCTCAGGCCAAAACCTGAAATATGGCTCAAAACCTGCAGGAGGAATTAATAAAGGGAAAATTACAATAGCCCAACACTTCAAAGTGTTTGGGTGCATATATCCTGTTCTAGGTACTACCTCCTAATAATTTCAGGGGAATTTAGATCTCATAATTCCTGGAATCAATCCCTAACATAGCTAACCCCCACATTTCTTCTGTAACAGTAATGAAAATAAGAAAAGTTTCAGATCTAAACTGACTCCTAAAATATCTGAGGGATCAGGGTACATCATTAACCAGACATGAACTCAACATACACTTCTACCCACCCAGGCAGTAAGGCTTCTCCCTGTTCCTGTGCCTCTCCCGATCATAGCGGTACCCAGGATAGCAAGTGCATAAGACTCGCCCAAAGTTATCTGTGCACTGCTGTTCACAGGGAGCTTCAGCACAGACATCATAGTCTAGAGACAGAAAAACGTGGTTAGGAAAAATACCAATGGAAGTAGCTGGATGATATTTTGACAGCAAATATTTCACCTCTCTGCTAATTAATAAAGTCAAGTTACGTTGTTTTTAAGAACTCAAAGAACCTAGAAATAAAACAGTCGTGACATAAGCAATGAATTATAGTAAAATTCTACTGGCTAATCAGCTATACACTAGCTAGAATATTTCCTAAAATTGAATTTTAAGCAAGGGTTACTTTCCCAGTTTGCAGAATTTAAGAATTCTTTTCACAGAAATATCACCTAAAAGTTTTTTGCTCTTTTCTTCCACAAATTTTTAAGTTCTGATAGCAACATTTCCTATGCAGAACACTGTGAAACACTGTGAGGCTAACTACCAATTCCAGGCAGAAAGTCTACCATAAGGAAAAGTTAATTAAAATCACACAGTAATTGTTCAAAGCCTGATATAACCCTTCTAGCAAAGAACACATTGTTACAAAAGCATCATCGTTCTTAATATTAGCAATGTGCAGATTAGGGTATGGAAAATCACTGACCAGGCTTGTCAGTGAAATCCCAGAAGACTGAAGTCTCCATTTGAAACCTGAAGGAGCGCAAATCTGTTTCTGATTTCACTATGTAGCAGCAGAGTTGAAGTCCAGGGAATGGACACAAGAGCAAAACAGGGTCTAACCCGCATTCATGCCCTGCCAGGGGCTGGATTTGGCCCCTGGCATCAGGCTGGTGGCAGGGCTTGGAGGGGAGATGGGCAGCCCCTGGCCTTGGGTGCAAGGGCTTTGCAGCATCATGGGGAGCACTGGCCAGGAGAACGCAAGAGCTGAAGCAGCATCTAGTGGGAAAAACAGATTAGGCAAATCCTGCTAAAGGTTGGGGTTTTATTCCAAAGGATGTGGCAGTTTCTGTGATCATTTCCGAGGAACTTCACTCTGCACACGGATTCCACGTGGTTGTCACTGTGACCCTCCAGTGACTGGGTACTGGAGGCCATAGCAGAAATGTCCTGTCCCTGCTCCAGACCAGATCCATCTAAGCCAAACCTAAGTCTTCTGAATGAGTCCCCAGCAATGCATTGTGTTTCCATATACATATATGTAAATACAGAAAATAATTATCCTAAATAATTAGAAAGTATAAAATAATTAAAACCCAGACTCAATATTGACTCACTCTAACAACCAGCAGACATCTCTGTGTACAATGTTTTTTTCCAAATGATTAAAACGAACTAATAGATGGTAAAGCAAGTGAAACCACATTTTTTGTACAAAGTATATAGAGTTCATGTGTAGCACTGGGGGTAAAAGTAACAGTGTGCCAAGGTACAGAAAAGCACCAAATGAGACTTAACAAGCTGCTGTATGTCACACCAGAGTCCCTTAGACAATAAAATACTATTTTATTGGTGCCAAGCTTTTTCTCTCTTGTGTTTGTCACCTCTTTGAATGGCAGGCATCCTTTCTCTCCTTTTTTCATAACTGTGTTGATTTTAACTCTTGAAGTCTGCCTGCAGTGCTGCGTCAGTGAATGACAGTACCAGGAGTAACAGGGGTTGAACAGTGTAGAGCCTTGTACAAGTGTGGAAAAAAACCATTGTCCTTGCTTTCAAACACGGTCAGCCTGGGGGCTAGTTTGGGATTTTTAGGTGATGATGGGGCTGTAAACTCCCGTTACATTTGGCACTACTAAATAGTCCCAAATATAAAGCATTAGTGGTATTTTTCCTGGGCACAGTTGCAATTTTCATTTTCCACCGAAATAAAATCAGATGGAGAACAGGCTAGCATGCCCAGCACTGAGGCGAACATGCCTGCTCCTTGGCCAGCATGCCCATGCAGATGCTGGATTTGACCTGTGCCATGTTCAGCCTATTCAGAGCAGAGGCAAAACGAGCTCTGTCCTCCCTGCGCTTCCATGAATAGATGTGCCCTAATAAAATCACAAAAAACAGTGCTGGAAGAGACCATCTCCCATCACAAGCAGGATTATCTATGCATAAACCTTTCCTAATAGACTTTCATCTAACTTGTACCTAGAAAACCCTGAGGGATGGAGATGCCCCAACATGCAGTCTATTTCCAAAATTAAACATCCTTGCAGATAGAAAGCCTTTTACTCATATCTAATCCAAACTCCCCTTATAGCCATTTAAGCCTATTATTTTTGTCCTGTTCTTCCTGGCCACGAAGAACAGTTTATTTTCCCCTTTGCATCAAGTTTTCACATACCTAAAAACTGTTATCACTTCTCCCCTCAGCTTCATTTTCTCTAGTATAAACAACACCAGTTCTTTTTAATCATCTCTCTTTTTCCATATTTCATGTAACTAGTCTTCAAATATGGTTTCACATCCAGCTTAGGAGAGCTCCATCAAGACCGTTGCTTCATTGACTTTCATATGAAGCTAGGGAGGGACTGGGAGGTGGAAATCTCGGTGCTCGTGGTTCTCACACAGTCAACCCAAATCACATAATGGCTCTGGGCAGGTCTCACATCACAGAGCTGTACACCCCGAGGCCTCTGGTCTCAGGTAGCACTACTCTCTCAGAAACAGTCCTCACAAATGGGCTGAAATTGGGCAAAAGCTGCTGCACCAGCTCTGTGTGCTCTGCAGAACTGAGGATGCACGTGCCCTCCCATGTTCAAGCCCCTTGTCTGCCAGCCCAGCCTAAGAAATGTGGTTTTAGGATGAATCAAAGCCACACGGTGAGGATCAGGCTGTTCCAGACTTTAGGAAAATACAGAAAAATGAAGCAGCATAACAAATGTCTCTATGTATATTTCAATGAACTGAGGAATGACAGTGCAGCATGAAAAATTGTACCAATAAAATTTCTGAAATAGCATTAGTGAGGAAAGAGCAGATCTGATTAGTGTTTGCCTGTCATAGAGTATTTTGCTCTGAATTATTCCACAGCCAAGAAATTCAAGAAACAAAACAGTAGGCAGGGTGCTCTCCAAAAGAAGTTGTTTCAGACTACATCTGTCCCAGCTTTACTACCGGTGACGCCATGAGACAAGACCTGGTTGGAGCTGTGAGTCTCCAAAGCAAAGAAGGAGATCATCAGGATAAAAGGGTGAGAAGCTCTTTTTTGACCTGCTTCATTGGTCAGGTGCTACTGGAGGAATCAGGCACACAGAGCAAACTCCTCTTGATGTTTCCAGAGGATCATTGTTCCTCGATCCTGAAGTTGACACCCAGAGCGAGAAGGTGAGTCAAAAGCAAATGAAATGCAAAACCTGGGGTCATGGACTCATACTGGACTGCACTGGTGTCTGTTGCTTTTTGAGGGCAGACAAGAAATAACAGGACAGAAACCAAAGATGGGCATGGACAAAGACACAACCCTTTGGGGGTAACAGCTGTCCAAGAAGGGGATCGGTGTCTTCCCGAGGCAGCTGTAAGAGGGTGTACAAGGGAGGGTCTATCCCTCTCCCAATCCTCCTCCCTTCAGCCACTGCTAAATCAAGAAGACAGGGCTGGAACTACTCACGCCTTTGACTTGCCAGTACTGGATTAAAAGGTGCAGATGTGCTCTAATAAACTCACATCTGTAATATATTTATGTTCCTGTGTCAAGATATGCATTTCATATAGCTACTTTGTCAAGATCATGCCAAAGCAATGTGTGAAGAGCCAAGTGATGTCTTGTAGCAGAGTAAATGAAACGAGTGCTTCACTGACTCATGTTTCTTCTCCCTGTACCAACAGACCAAGATCATCTCAGATGTTACAGCAATTGCTGTGGCCTCTGAAGTTCAAGGAAAAATATAGATCGAGCTGAAAAGAGAGGAATGGAGATACAAAGGGAGAGAAGCCACAGCCAGCAGAGAAATTACATTAGTGACAGAAACTCTCAGGTTACTGCGATGCAGTTAATAGAAAGGATTAAGCGAAGTCAGTGGGTACATAATAAAAGCTGCTCTCATAATCACCTAAAACCTCAAGAGATAAAAATTAGAAGCCTAAAATAATATATTGCCATAGCTCTCATTTTAATTTTGCTCCTATTACATCTCCTGCTGTATCCATTATATTTAGTGAATAACCAGTATATAAAATTGTTACAATTCATAGGAAAGCTGGAGGCCAGACTGTAAAGTCCTGGCTTCTTTCCACGCCAAAAGGATTCAGGGCTTCTGCCTCCTACACACACAACTGCCTTGTACAACACAGCACAACTACCTCTTCCAAGTGTCCGTCTTGCACTGAAGCTGTCATCTCATGCCACACACACTGAGACAAAACTGCAAAACCACAGGATGAGGAACTCATTGTGAACACTGATATCACCAAAACACTACCCAGCTCCCTAGGGCTCGAGCTCTATCATGAGCCATTTTCTTTGCAAGGAATCAGCAAATGCACAGTCCCTGTTTTGAGAAGATGTGGTGGGGTTTTATTATTTTTTTTTTTTTCCTTAACCAGTGTTCTTGTGTTTCCAGCCATCAGCAAAGAAGACACAAATTAAAAAAAAAAAAAAAAAAAAAAAAAAAAAGGAGCAGGATCAGAGTTTGGGTTATAACCCCTGTTGGCTGGAAAATGTAACTAAAAAACCAGCTGACTTTCACCAGTATGTTAATTTGTCACTTTTCTTTTCAAAACATCACCATCTCAAACTGGGAAAACTCTCAGGTCAATCTGAGGCTTTCCATATGTCATCAAACAGAAGGATGTGTTACCATAAACTAACATTTTAACCTGCTTTTTGGAGCAAACAAGGTTTATTGGCTTATTGTCTCTGGCCATTTGCTTCTGCCTGACAGTTCCTCTGTTCCTATAACTTCAGAGCCGATTTCATCCACATCAGGCAAAGTGGTGGGAGTGATTGAAGAAGTCACATTGCTACTGTGTGTATGAAGCTGCCGCTGGTTAGACCCAACAGAGGACTCCCTCAAGGTCAGGGCAGGCAGAGCTCAGCCTTTTCCTAAATGAGGTCTCATTGCAGCAACCTGCTCAAGCATTGGGACCCCATTTTGCAAAGTGGATCGTTCCCTTTTCACTACTGCATGAACTACCCCAAGTGACTCTCTGTCCCCCTCTGCCTGTGGTGACAAGGAAGCCATGCCCCCAACCAGGAGAGGTGACCGAAGAGAGATGCTGTTTGGCAATGCTCTTGCCTTGCTGATAGCTTCAGGAAATATGTAACTAAAGGCAGGACTAACTCACCTAGTCACCATTCCCTGTGCGCTTACAAGCCACACTGTCTGTGCCAGATCCAAGGGGTACATGGAGAAAACCATCAGCCAGGAAGGGTGTGCTCCTGGGTGCACAGAGTGCTCCCGTGTACATAGCCAAGAGCAGAATGCTGCATTTGAAACAGGTCATGGTACAAGATCTGTGCAGCCATGTGTACTTAGGGGAAGATCAAGGCTTGGCATGCTTTTCCAAAAGCAAAACTTTTGGAATACACTGCTCTTTTTATTTTTCCAACAACTTCTTGGAAACAGCTCCCCCACTGACACATTAGATACAGCTGAGCCTGTGGTTATATCAGGATGCTCTTCCAAACTGGCAGTGTGGAGAACAGGGCAAGTGGGGAAAGACAGATGCATGGGGAGACGAGGAGTAAGAACAGTGAAATCACATACCTTCAGGGATGCACTGTCCAAGAACAAACTTATAACCCTTACAGCATTTTTTCCTGAAAAACAATAAAATAAATAAATGAATAAATAGATAAATTCTCTAAAGGTTGGTGCTGCCTTTAAAAACAGTCATGGGTAGATCATGTATATGATGAACCGAACAAGATGAGGATCCTGGGATCTGCAGCTGGAAGTATCTCAACATTAAAGAACACAACATGGAAACCCACCATTCAGTCCATCAGTCATTTTAAATGACACCATGGCCAGATGGATCAGGAGCCTGGGGCCGGGTACCCCAACACTGACCCACGCAACATCCCAAGTAGTGTCTGAAAACCTGCTCCCTTGTGTTGAAACGATGCAGCACACCTTGGTGCTGTCCATACACACAACTCAGGTCATAATTTTCATAATACAGTGAAGGGTGTTTTCAAACATCTGTCATTACAATGTAAACTTGAAGAAAAAGGGTAAGTCTTAGCGAGGAGTACACACAAGATAAATGTTATCAGTCATTTCTCATCTTTTAATGAACCTGGAAGGTGATAAGTGAAATATATTGGGTATTTCAACTGAGAAAGGGGGACAAAACTGCAGTGAAGAGTCAATAGGATCAGATACTTGCGCCTATGATATGAACAAAGACTGAGTGCTGAGAAATTAATGCTTCTTACACAGTGGCCTGTAATGACATTTAGGCATTCAGCTATACCTGCTTGTTTGCTTTCTATGAAGCAAACCACATCAAGTCACCAGGACATCCAGCAGCAATAAGAAGCCTTTACAAACAGCTGTGTCCTGTATCACCCTAAAAACTACTTGCTGCAGGGACCTGGTGACCTTCAAAGGGTCCCATGTTGATGGCTAGCAGGAATGCTTCAAGAGAAACAAACTGCTGTTCAGCATGCTATTTTATCAAGTCCACATGAGTCTGAGGGCAAAAAACCCCCTGCATTTTACAAATCCAGTTTCTAATGCCTTGTGGATATGCTGATATATCTGCAAAACTGGGAAACCATTCATTTGGTCTTATCCTTTAATTCAATAACTGATACTGAATAGTGCTAAAGCCACAGCAGTCAATGACACATTCCCCTAGACAACGTGCAGCCATCACAAATCATCATTATGTTGAATTTAAATCAACTATCAGTTGCAACTGACCACTTAAAACAAACAATGCATTATTCCAAACTATGTAAAAACAAACTTTGTCTCCATATTTTACCCTCTTCCAAAGATTAGCTGGAATATAAATTATGCTTAATGAAGGTTGAACATCTGAGGAGGAAGCCTTGCTTTGTTATGCAAACAGTGGTCCCTCATTAGACTTTTCTCCAAACACTGCTGTGAGGTTTTATCTTCAAGACAAACAAATGCAGGAGGAATGAGTTCAAAGGTGCATCAGGGAGTCTGTTCATATGCTGCAAGCCATGCTGATGGCTTTCCAAGTGTACATTCATCTCCTCCTGTCTGCGGAAGAAGGGAGGCTGATAAAGGCTTGCCTGTAGCCGCTCTTCAGAGGAAGATACAGCCTGGCTTGAGAGAGGGCTGGGAGATGGGAAAGGAGAGAAGGGCATCCCTGCCATGAAATGCTGACCTGTGGGGTTGTGCCAGCCAGAACTAACCAGAAAGAGGGAGCAGCAGCTTTCATCATTTCTACCCTTCTCCCTGGGAAGTTCCACTTGATTTTCAGGCTTAGGACTCTCACCCTTGAGTGGCTTGTGGCAGCAGATGCAAACCTCAGCCAGCACAGCCTGCTCCGGGGTAAGGACTCACCTGCTGGGAAGCCTGCAGGAGCTGCCTCTCTCTTGTCAATTTGGCCAGCAGTCGCTTTTGACTGGACTTGTTGGCTTTCTTGTGGCTAAATTTTGGTTTTACCTGCCTTACTGAGTTCTCCTGATAGCCAAACCACTTGCCTTGACCAAACCCCTCTCCCACAACCACACATGGAGAACTCACCACACACCGAGTTATAGCCATTAAATACTGCCCTGGCACCCTGAAGCAAGCACAGCCTTGTGTAGCCACGCCTAGAGTTGCTCTAGTTAAAATAACCGGAAAATGGTGTTGCGCTGGCAGATATCCAAGCCCCTGCTGAAATCCATGTCTTCAACAGCTTCTTGCAGCAATGAGTTCCACAGGGGGATGAGATGTTTTAGAGAAATAACTTCCTTGTTTTCAGTCTCCCTTTCAATTCTTGTTGAATTTTCCCAGGGTCTACTGGTAAGGAGATTTGGAAATATTTTCTCTAAACACATGAAGATTTTTCCACATCATGGAAGCTTTAAATCACACCTAAAGAAGTAGTATAGAGGAGGGATGCCCTGCTCTCAGGATCACACTCCAGAAACCAATTCCCTGTGGTAATCAGTTCCCAATTCAAGATTACATGTCTCTGTATTAGTGCAGCCCATACTCAACAGCAAGCTTTAGCCATCAGCATGATTTTGCCAGGGAAACTGCTACTTTAGGGTTAATGCACAGGAAATACAATACAATACCCATTTACATTGCAACCCTGGGATTCCTGAATGCTTTAGCTTTTTACATTCTTAAAGAGAAATCTGTCAAAATGATAGACACATGAGGTGATCATTAGCAAAGGCATTTTAATAGCAATACTCATTTTCAGACATCCAGCTCCAGGTTGACATGTCTAATCAACGTTGCACAGCAGCAATCTCGTTATATATAATGAGAGGTAAGAGGGGGTCCCCACTGATAATTTTAGCTACTGAATAACTTTCAGCAAGGCGGTTGCTACGCAGCTGTACATGTGAGCATGCATCAAACATAAACTGATGCAAGGCTGTGTAAGAAGCTCAACCACTAAAATTTGGATCTACAGGGAAATTTAGTTGATTTGTTATCTTTAAATCTGGTTTCCAAAAGGAGAAACTTCTGTCAGACTTATCTGTTACATCTTTAAATGAGGTGATTCGGCTATTGAAAATACATCAACTTCTGATTCTCATGAAATCTTCACTCAGGAACATGTACAAGCCCAAATTCACAGAGGGTTTTGGGCACCATGATTTCAGTCACTGCAATGTCTAGCTTTTGTGTTACCTGTAAGAAAATCCATAGCGATAGGGACCCTTTTGAAAGCAAAGTCACCCTTTTTTTCTGACAGGTGCTGTAGGATAAGCAGGGAGATGTTGAGCTACTCCCCTCTGCTCTGGAAGTTGAGGTGCTCCTGGATCACTGAATGTCAGAAGATGGGATTTAGGGTCAAACCTTTGGTACCAGTAAACACATCCAGGACTAGGAAAGCAGCGCATCTGCCTTTGTTGTAGGCTTTCCATCACCTTGCAGACCGAGAGGGGTGCTGAGCTTTGCAGGAGCACCCCCCATATCCCACCGCCTGCAAGTCCCCCCTGTGCTCAGTATACAGCACCCCCACCCCCCCACCCCCCCCCCATCTTGCAAAGCGGTAGCTGCTTGATAGCATCTCCCCAGACAGGCAGGACGAAAGGCAAGATGCAAGGAATGTGGCTTAATTAAGCCACCACTTTATTAAGTTAGCTTATCTGGCAGCTATCAGCAGTAACTCATCCAGCGTGGACCATGTTTTTTTCCCATAATTGTTTCCACCTGGTGCAGGGCTGCCATCGCCCCCAGCCCACCTCCTGCTCTGCACCGGGACACTGCGGCTGGCGGCAGTGCCGGAGGGACCGGGGTATACTGAACTGAGAAAACACTTCTGTGTGAGAGAGAGGGGAGTGATTCAGGGTTCTGCAGCAGCTGAAATGCTTTGGAAATGCAAACAATAACAGGATAAACATTTAAAATTATAATTAACCTGTATCTGTCTGCAGTAATAAGGCAGTGACTTCGGCTGTGACAATGGCTGGCTCGGAGCTGCCTCATACTCTATTGAAGTTTTGGTTAACTTCAGCAAAGAGGCAACTCTAAAACTCTATCATGACAATTATGTTGAAAAAGATATATGATGGCCATTTAGTGGTTGAAAAAAGGGAAGGGAAAGAGAGGGCAGAAGGGAAAAAGAAAAGTTTTTTATTGGTTTCAGATGAACATAATATGTTAAAGAAACTTGCTAAAGATGTGAAGAGTAGAAACAAAAGAGTCCACTCTACGAAATACTTGCCTTCTAGGAGCAAAGCAGACACAGAAATCCCTATGTGGAGTCAGAACATGAGTTCTTAGGATAAAACAATACTCTTTATCCCTACAGTGCTGCGGTTCGGTCAGACAGTCAGCTTCCAGGATGGCTCCACCCAGATAGAGGTAATCAAGCAGAGGCACTTTTCCTGACATTCAGTGGGGCTAGGAGCACACACATGGACAGTTTCTAGAGCTCAGCTGATGCCTGAGGTCCCTTTGCTGGAAGATGCAGCAGCTCCATAGGTGGTCAGGCAGGTCAAATCCCTCCTCTCTGATACACTATTTCTGACCCATGAACGTCAGAAGAGTCAGAGTTTAGGGGGCATAAGAGCTGCTTAACATTTTATGTAAGTTTAGATATATCAACATTGTTCTCCCAGGTCTGTACTCGTAGAAAGTAGTGCTAATACAGTCAAGCAAATGTATTTAATCAAAAAACCCTATTTCCTGTTGGGAAAAGATAGAAAGAAATATTTTAACCAGATTTCTTCAGGCAATGTCATAACATGAATTCAGAAGAACTTGTACTGTATCTTGACAACCTGAGTCAGCAAAGGCCATGGCACGGCTGTGTTTAATTGCACAAAGGGGTCTTTGTTAGACTGGCTACTTACTGTGCCTGCCCAGTGTTTCTTTTTGATCACCCTGACTCTGAGAAATACACAGTGCAACAAAAATGCAAACATAAAATACAGCAATTAACTTACAAAAAATAATTAGACAGCTATAAAATTAAGCCAACAAGGTACATTAAGAAAAAACCAAGCCTTGTTTTTCTCATATTCTATATAAAATCCAAATGAGGGATAAGTCTGTCTGCCAAAGCATGCACAGACAAAGCCCATCTGCAGCACAAGTGTATTAAGGAAGCAGCTCAGTAGCTGTGTACAGTTTTGCTGTAATTCACATGGAGAAAAGATTTATG